CCTCGGACAACATTTTCGCTAAGGAAAAAGTTGTTTCAAATCACCTCCCGAACCACCTCTTTCAAGGTGTTACAACATTTTTGGGACACCCTGTAAACATGAAAACCGCGTAAAGAAAGCAAACATGGCCGCTGAACGGATTTTACCCGCTTTCGCGTTTCCGCCATTACGAGAACATGTTGAAGACGCTAAAAAATTCGAATGTCTGCTCTCTTGAAATCATCGTTTTGTACGAGTCGAAGCGTTTGCGAAATGCTTTTAGCGTTACGCTTTTATCGTTGAGAGACAGAAAAAGAAACTAAGAAAACGAATCTGTAACAGGTACTCACTTGGCTCGGCTACAGCAACTCGGCCTTCAACCCGATCATCTACAGCATCTTCAACACAGAATTCCGAGAGGCGTTCAAAAGGATCCTCACAAAAGGTGCACGGGCTCGCGGAAATCAACCGTCGACCAGTGAATGCGGCGAATTTCGGTCCGTGGTTGTCCAGAAACGAAACGGATCCATGATCGAATGCAATATTAGCCCGCGATCGAGTGCGGATAGTTGTCAAGTCGGAATAATGGGGCAAAGACACCGCGACACTATCGTGAGTGCGATATAACTGAACTCGAGTTTCTCTTTCGGATGTATCGATCTTCCTATCGAGCGCTATTCGCGTTGGTAAACACTGGGCCGCGCTCTTGGTCTCGTATTCCTGGATTCTCACGAACTGTACACAAATTTTTCACCACGGCTGGTTCGACCCTTTACAGTTCGCTACGTTATTTTCACGATAATAGATTTCACGTGTTATAATGTAATCGGATTCGAACAGATCTATTCAATTCAATGGTCGCAAATTTCAAATACACCATGATTTAATAGTACACCAAGAAGAAGAAAAGACCACGTAATACATGAACGTTAAGTATGCTACAGCGATTGGGCGAGTTTCGAAGTTTCGATTTGGGAAATTATTTTAATGCGATATCGAATCTGGAATGTTTGGTCACATTATCCTAGCATAAAGTGTGTATAGTCACCGGTAGGGATCTTGTGAGGTCGTAAAGTCGGTCGGACATCGATCTTTACAATTTAAGTCGACCGCAATTAGTAATCTGACACCTTTTTAGACAAGGACAGAGCTAGACTTTTCGTTCAGGGCCGTATGGTATCAGAATTAGGATGTTCATATCTCAACTTTTTTCTTCTTATGTATGTTCACACATAATTCTGTTGGCCGACTTATTGAAAATACTGTGGTAGGTAGGAACATAGTTAACCAATCATCGTCAAGAATTTTCGGTTTTTCCAATTTGGAAAAACCCGCGTAGCAAACATCAAGTCTTGGGGCCCCGGGGTGTAACGTGGGCATGTACAGGGTGTCTAAAAAATGTTGTAACATCTTGAAAGAGGTGGTTCGGGGGGTGATTTGAAACAACTTTTTCCTTAGCGAAAATATTGTCCGAGGCTTCATTGAGGAGACATTAACGGAAAACACTGACCAATCAGAGCGCGTGGTTACCGTTGGAGCGGCCGCGATAGCGAAGGCTACGAGCTAAGCGGCCACGCTTGTACGCGACCAAGCGACTGGACGTGCATCGAAGGACATTGACGCAGCCGCTTAGCTCGTAGCCTTCGTTACCACGGCCGCTCCAACGGTATACGCGCGCTCTGATTGGTCAGTGTTTTCCGTTAATATCTCCTCAACGAAGCCTCGGACAACATTTTCGCTAAGGAAAAAGTTGTTTCAAATCACCTCCCGAACCACCCATTTCAAGGTGTTACAACATTTTTTTGGACACCCTGTATATTTTAGAGCCGCGTCATCTCTGTCGTCCTACGGATCAATTACCTGGGCCAATAAAGCAATAACTACTGTTTCGGTTTACGACCTCACAAGATCCCTTCCAGCGACAGTACGTAAGTCAACATCTCGTGTTAACGTGTAAATCTGGTCGATCGAATCGGAAAATCGTTGAATCAAAATTCCGGTAAATAGTTTAAATTCTTTTTTAAAGGGTCGAACACTGCTTGCATTCTACTACTAGCCCGCGAAAACTTATGGAACGTTTAGAACAGCAATTATAAATATCAACGTTAACCGTAACGATAAAGTTTGTCGTTTACTTATTCAAGCAAGATATTACACAATCTACGAAATTTTGTCGTAATACAGAGCACGTTATTGAACTTTTCCTTTATGAATTTGCCAAATAACGTAATTATCGATCGTATCGTATTCGAATACAACAAAAAAAAAGACTAATGCAGAGTGTTAAAAAATCTGAACTTGTACTTGCCATAATCGAAACTTGAACATTCTACAAATTGGTTTTCGCGAAACCAAAGGTTCATATAACACAATTTGTTCTGTATTTTTAAACAGATATAATATGCCGTAAAAATGTACAGATATCGTATCGCCCTAAGCAATAGAATTATCTACATATCGAACATACTAGGGAAAGTTCAATGTTGTCTCAATCCCTCCGTTTCGGCGCTAAAAACTGAAATCGATATTAATTATGGCTTAGGATGAACGACGAAAATTCCGTATGAATTTTTTTACTCAGTATTTTTTATCCATAAACGGTGAAAGGTGACGAAACTTGTCGGTATAAGCAATCGATTAAGAGGAAAATTAAAGACAATCACCAAAAGGTAGTTCAAAACATATCCATGAGACATAATCCACCCACGATTAAAAAAAATAATAAATAAATAAACGAGAGCTGTGTAGAAATTCAACAGGAAGATACCAGTTTGAAATAAAAAAGAGAAAAAAAAACAGATTTATTCGTAGAGAAATTCGAGTGTAGGTATTTAGAATAACGTTCTCATAAAGCAATTGTAATTATGAAATCATGTTGATAGCGCATCTACGACGTAAAGCTGGATGTTACGCGGAGCACTAATAGTAACGTCTGTCGAATCGTAGCTTATTAGTATTAGAACTGCGGCGAAACCCGCACAGATTCATTTTCCATCTTGTAAATAGACATTTATTTATTTTTCTATTTGACGGGACACCCAGTCGCGATCCACGTATTTTATGCATTTTAAGCGATGTTTCGTTTAGGTGCTAACGTAACGCAAAATCACGTGTAACCCGTCGAATCTAACTCGAATCTGCGTAATATATTCCAAACGAAAGAAATCCTCGCGAAAGGCTACCAGCGCTCACGATGTTTCGTCGAGCCACTTCCATACATCTATATCTACGCTGCAAAGTGCATTGCATTCCGACTAGAGAGAGAAGCGGATGTTAGGAATATATATCATAGTAAATTAAAAAGAGGCCATTAAACGACTAAGTCTCCCTTGTCGGAGTGACATGTGCACGATGTTCATGTATACTAATGATATGTTTGAATGACCGTTCTCTGTAAATATATTAGCGTAAGACTTCCACGCGGGTGTTAAATTTGAAATGTTTTATTACAACCTTATCCTGCATCGATCTATACCCACCAATTGGTATTGAAAATCCACTCGATACATTTTTAATTTATTTTTTTAAATAACAATTCATTTCGTAGTACAGTACGATTTGTTCCATTTAAAGAATCTGTTATGTGAAGTGGTGTTGTTTCGTTCCAACTACGATTTGATCTTGGCATTTGAAACGAATCCAGGATAGTAGAAGCTACTCTTGGGATTATTGGGTATAATATCGTAGCGGCCACCCGTACACTTTCTAAACTAAGAGATATCACAGCTTCGAGTTCTTTGGCTGAGTTAAAGTTACTAGATTCGCGTAAACACCATGGTTTATGGTGGTTGAACATTTGATTTGAAATGTGTAACATATTCATGACAGTATCTACTACGTTATGCAACTGACATTCCTCATAAAACACTCTGGTTTTTTCACCTATTACTTCCAGAGTTTTTATATTTTCAATAGCTGCTTTGGATTTTAAAACTTCTATATAGGTGCTTGGGCAAGGTATCGTTCTGTTCGGATTGATACTTTTACCCAAACATCGATTAATTAAGTTTCCCATGTTATTGGCAAGTTCGGCATTTAATAAGTTCTGAATTTTTTTAGCATTATAGTCTGAAAATAGGAAACGAAGTGTCAAACGTTAAAATAAACATCGTTATCTTTGCGGCGAATAAAAGGAATTACATATAAATATATATAGTAATGTTATACATTTGCCTTACTTGCATTCGAATGTAGTACCGCTTGACGCAAGAGGAAATACCTTAAACCTTCTGGTGTGTAATTAGTCATAGCTTCAAATGGAGAAATCACATTTCCTCTAGATTTTGACATTTTCAGATCATCGATAGTCCAGTGCCCGTGACATAAGAGTTTCTTTGGTGGTTCGAGGCCAGCACCTATCAAAAATGCTGGCCAATATATGCCATGAAATTTCAATATATCTTTTCCTACAACCTATTTATAAACATTGTTAGATTTTAACAATGATTTCCTGAATTTTAAATGCTTTATAATATTATTAAATTATTTTATATTAAAATAAAGTAAAGTTACCACATTTACCTGTATGGATGGTGGCCAAAATTGTTTAAACGAACTATCCGGATAGTTTACCCCAGTTAAATAATTCACTAATGCATCAAACCATACATATATGGTATGAGAGTTATCATTCGGAGTAGGAATTGCCCAGGGCACTCTGCTAATAGGTCTAGAAATACTTAAGTCTTGTAGATCTTCGATCCAATTCAACAACGTATTACGATATATTGCCGGTTGTACTGTATTTTCTAAATACAGTTTTGTATATTAAAATAACGATTTTCTTCAATAAAAACAAATTCATTCAATCAAAGGAGTTGTAAATAGATATACCATTCTTCAGCCAATATTTTAAATCATCTTTGAAAGAAGTAAGCCGAAATTTGTAATTATCTTCTTCGGTCCACTCCACAGGATTCCCAGATTCGTTTGATACTTGTATAATATTTCCAGCTTTATCTTTCTCTTCTATTAATTCTGTATCCGAGACAAAAGTTTCATCCAATGTACTGTACCATCCAGAATATCTTCCTAAGTAAATGTGCCCTCTTTCTTCTAAACAATTCTGGAAGTTTTCAAATTTTTATTGCACAGTTAATATAATATTAAATATAAGACTGTTACTTGAATAGTTTAACAACCCAAAAATGATGAACTGCATTCATATGTCGTTGGTCAGTTGTTCTAATAAATTCTGAATATTTAATACCAAATACATGACACATTTCTAGGAATTTCAATGATATTTCAGTGCAATATTCATGCGTTAGCATATCCGCTGCTTTTGCAGCATTCTCAACTTTAGTACCATGTTCATCTGTTCCCGTGTTTAGAAATACAGAATGTCCTAACATAGAATTAAATCTAGCCATAGCATCTGCCAAAACTGCAGTATAAAGATGTCCAATATGTGGTCCTAAAAGTAGGGAAGATAAAAATCAGTATGTTTCAACAGAAAGCATCTATGCATATATATTTCTATACAAAACAAATTTTTCTATATTTATAATTGCATACCAGCATTAACATAAAATATAGGTGTAGTGATGTATGTGTTCTTAATCGCATTATCATAGAAATTGTTTTTACTAATATGAGACCACGACGATTGTATTTTAGTTTTCAAGAATGGAAAGGTCCACAAGGATTGTACAGAAGACCTTGTTAAATGAACTGCAACTAGAATTCAAATTTATATACCATTAAAATTAATTAAGATACCATAAGAACAGAATATGTTACATGAAACATTTAAAATAAAATCAAAATCATAGCAGTGTTATTCAATTCTTAAATAAACAACATCATGTAAATCTTTCATTTTTTAAACATTTATTCTGATAGCACTATATACAAATTCATTATATCGATAATATGCAATAAAAGATAAATACAATTTTTATACATAAACATTCAATTGGTAGGCAATTCAAATTGTATTGTTTCTAACTGTGCCACAAGATCCATGTGCTTGAATTTATCAGGCTTATTAGTAAATGTCTCTAATAATTGTAATCTCTGAGGATTGTCTGTACAGTAGTATAACTGTAACTCATTTGCTAAGCATTGTGCTTCTTGTACACTGATAGTTTTTGTATCAAATTCGCCTCGCATTAGCACAATTTCTTTATTCTCTTTAAGATCGGTATAATGCAACATAGTTAAACATTCCGGTGCATTTTCTTTGTGTGTCTGGTACCACAAAAGTGGTGTCATATGAACCTCGAATCCAAAAAATTGAATGACAATAAATTCATATCCTTGTTTTCTAGGTAATGGTAATAAAAATGTAGGATATCGTTTTCCACGTTCAAACATTTTATCAAATTGACCTGGTGTCAATACCCCAGATATACAATCCTTTTGTTTATGATAATCTTTCCAAATACTTATAATCTCTTCCCTTGTTTTATCTTGGATCATGTCTACTTTCATAATGCTATTTAATTCTGCTCGACGAGGTTGATTAATTTGATCCAAATGTGGTTTTGCTTGACTTTGATAAAAATTACACTCTTGTTCTTGTTTCTCTTCAATCGAATAACATACTTATTAACAGAATAAAATAGACATATGATACTTACAACTAGTTAATAATAATAGACTATTTTATTGTTCAAATAGTTGAATCGACTTACATTTACATTTTAATAGTAAACACAAATCGTTTAATTTTTAAACATGCCTAAATACTATATAGGTTATATACCTTTCGCTTTTCGTTCTTTCTTTTCTTGATTTTCGGCACGTTGCAAAAACTCTTCCGGACAAGTCTTCTGAAACTTCGCTATTTTTTCAGCATACTTGTCAAAATAAGGATTCTTTTGGAGATCATTTAAAACTTTGTCAAGTTTCGATCGACTTGTCATGATGAATCGTTTGTTACTACTTCTCGTTTCTATACAAACATTTTTCATAAATATCGACGACGACAATCGTATTGTATATCGCAAAGATATTGCCATTGATCGTTTAAAATTTAATAAGAAACTATGTAGTTACATACAACAATTCCGCGGCAAAACAATGCACATTAAGTAACGTATCCTTTTCATCAGTTTAGGTTGGTTTAGGTGTCGCTGAAAACTTTACGAAATTGCGAACTGTCAATACTGCCATGTACGTAGTTGTTTTATTTTTTTGCAAACGGAAAATTGCTTACGACGTTTTCCATTTAAATGTTTTCTCTGTTCAAGATGATAAACATTTAAGAAATGAAAAATCATCTTACATACGCAAAAGACATTTCATATCAATCCATTCAGTCCTAATAAGTAGCACAAGGTTCCGGTACATCAGTAACGTATCTATACAAAAGGACAAATCGCTTAAAACACGATGACACGTTTGACCTATATTACGTACAAAGCATAGACATACGTACAACAAAAATTATGTTCGTTATCTTGCGATACTTTAAACATTTTTTTTATATACTTTACAATCTTTTTATTATCAACTGTTATATCAATCGTTTTTTGTAAGAAATAACAAAAACTTAGAAATTTATTACAATTCATGATAAATATTTTAGTACCAAGCGAGGGGAAGCATATTTTAAATTAAAACACATTTAAATGTTTATATCTACACTGTCGATGACTACCAATTTTAAACAATGTATGAAAAAAATTGATGAAAAGTTTCTGATTTATATTCCCCGTATATTCCACTGTTTTTTTTTTGTTTTTTTGTTTAATTCTTAAACGATCAATTTCAGCTTACGATATTAAAAAACGTATTTGAAAGAACAACGAAGAGGAAAAAAGAATCAATTAAGAAATATGATTCGCTGGAAGAACTTTAATGACAATATCGACACGGCCCTGAGGAAAATCTAGTACCGCATTCAAGCGAGTCACTTCATTACAATTAAATTTCGCGGCGATTCCAAATTTACGGCCACGATCATATTAAATTTGTCTGGATTATTAAAATAAAAGATTTGTAGTGGATCGGATCGAAAGGATATCGCGATTAATTGGCGAGTATCCGTTGATAAGGACTCTGACTTGAATAACGCCCGCCGTGACGCATCGTTTCCGCAACGTCAGTCGCTCTCGTGCCTCTAGCGAAAGGGAAAATGTCGGCGTGTTAATGGGGTTTTGTTGTGCTAGGTAGAGAGTGTGACTTTTGGCCACAGTTTCCTCTCCATATTTTTTAACGAAGAGTAAATCCACCATCAATACGGCACCGAGAAGCATCAACATCATCGTGTTTGCCACTAAATGGCGTATATCTCGCAGCGGGTACGCTCAGTACTTTAAATCAGGTTTGATTCCGACGTGAGCCAAGTCGCAGAGGTCCGCCGTCGGTTCTAGCGGAGGGTAGACAGAAATTGGGAAGCAAAGAGTAATATGTCGTTGCAGTTGGCGATGTCAGTAGCGAAGAACGACTTTATCGTGGGTGGCAAGTACAGGCTGATGAGGAAGATCGGCTCGGGATCCTTCGGCGACATATACCTCGGTATCAACATCGCTAATGGCGAGGTAAGGAGTACCGTTTCGTACGAGACGGCCTGTGTCCAGCACGCCTTCCTTCTCATATTTCCCACTTCCTATTTCTTTCTCGAGGAAGCCCCCTTTTTTAACGAGCATTTCATCATATGTGTACCGCGAACAAGTATTTTCCTAACGCCAACATTAAGCTTTTCTTGAAATATGTTTTCTACGATATTGTGTTGTTGGTTGCATCAACTATCCGTTGTTTTTTCTTAGAAAATCTGCAAACAGAAGTTATTCGTTCTAACGAAGTTGTGTTTACGTGGTTGTTACGGCGAATTCGATGATTATTTTTAACGTTCTCGCGTATAGTTCTATCTGCGTATTAAAACGTTTATTCAGCTTTTTGCAATAACATTAACCTCAGTATGTAAAAGAGAATATTGCCATAAACATTTTTTTACTCGAGATAATCATTAATCACGGTTTAGTGTTTTTAACCCAAATACATGGTTGCAATAATCACATGAAAATAATTTTAATAGCCTATTAATGATCATCAGAAATATATATCTGTACAGTCGAAATTTTTCTATTGCAAATGCCAGTTGTCTATAATTGTTGTTTGTACTATAAATTTGCTCAATGCACTTATACTACTTTTATTTTCTGACACAAAGACTTCTTTTCATTTCCTTTCATAATTATATTTTACGCTTACATATATAACACAACTTTTATCATACTATAGTAAAAATAATTACATGCATTAGTAATGTAGAACAAAAATAATAAAATATTTGAATATCGCAAACATATGTTTATAGATCTTATTTATATAAAAATTTTAAACATCAAAAGTCTTATGGTACTAATATAACTATATTTTAAAGAAAATGGATTTCTGGTAAATGTTTAATATTTTAGTGAAAATCAGTGAATTAAGATCTATAAAGAAAAGAATATGAATTTATTCAATTAATTATGTCAAGTATAAATAACTGATTGAAAATTTGCAATATATATTCTATACAAACATATTAAACACCTTTTATAACAAATTAAATCATGCATGTTATGTGTCATTTTAGGAAGTTGCTGTTAAATTGGAAAGTATCCGTGCTCGACATCCACAACTCTTATATGAGTCGAAATTATACAAAATTTTAAACGGGGGTGTAGGGATACCTCATATACGTTGGTAATTATCATTTCTCATGTATTGTTTAAATTGAAATAAATTTAAAATGAAATAGCCTTTTCTAGTATTGTATGGATTTTCTATAGATATGTTTTGTTGTGAAATATAGGTATGGACAAGAGCGGGAATACAATGTACTTGTATTGGACCTTCTTGGTCCATCTCTTGAAGACCTCTTTACGTTTTGTTCAAGAAGATTTACAATTAAAACAGTTTTGATGTTGGCAGACCAAATGATTGGTAGGATCGAATACGTTCATTGTAAACATTTTATTCACAGAGATATCAAGCCAGATAATTTTTTAATGGGCATCGGTCGTCACTGTAACAAGGTATTGTTTTAATTTTTATATTCAGTGTTTATTTCTGCACTGTTTATGAAATTTTAGTGAAAAGTGATGTTGGTAATTTACAAAATTTCAGCTGTTTCTTATTGATTTTGGATTAGCTAAAAAATACAGAGATAATCGTACAAGACTACATATTATATATCGAGAAGACAAAAATTTAACAGGCACGGCAAGGTATGCGTCAATTAATGCACATCTTGGAATAGAACAGAGTCGTCGCGATGATATGGAATCGCTTGGATATGTGCTTATGTATTTCAATCGAGGATCTTTGCCCTGGCAAGGACTCAAAGCTGCTACTAAGAAACAAAAATATGAGAAAATAAGTGAAAAAAAGATGTCCACGCCTGTAGAAGTTTTATGTAAGGTATGTTCTATGTTTGCAAGTAGTAGTATTTTCTGTCAAAGACAATATATGATATTTAAATTGAATAATTGTTTGTACTTAGGGATTTCCTGCCGAATTCGCCATGTATTTAAATTATACGCGAGGTTTACGTTTTGAAGAAAGTCCAGATTACATGTATCTTCGTCAACTTTTCCGTATACTTTTCCGTACGTTAAATCATCAATACGACTACACATTTGATTGGACGATGTTAAAACAAAAAGCAACAAGTAGCAATGGCACTAGTGGAGCAGCTACAGGTGGTCCAGGTCCAGCCACTCCTGGTACTCAGGGGCAAGGACAAGCCCAAGGTCAGCTACCAGGCCTGACCAACCCTCAACCAGGTGTCCATTTTATGTTCCAAGTGATACTATATATGTTTCAAATGTTGTGTTTTAGTAATATAATCACTCAGATTTTTTTATAAATAGATACGTAAATTTTTGTTTTCTATCCCTGTTATCTTCATAGAATCCAGAGGGAAAAGTAGCATTAGTATTAATACGTGTTTTTATAGTCATATTTATATAGTTTGTTTATCTATTCTTATATGTATCTTTAATATTTGTTTCAGGAGCACGTTAAGACTATAATCACTTGTCGTTGCATCAATCCTATTTGCAGTCGCTAGTGTCCAAGATCAGGTACACGACTTTGTACGAATACCATGCAAAGAGTCAAATCAATCAACCTTCTAAGTTTACACAAAGGAGGAATTCTGCGATTACAAGCGTATCGTACATAGAAAGAGGACAATGCCACAAATACACGTTACTGAATTCACTGGTCAGTGAAAGCTTCAGTGTATTGTCAGTGCTTAGAGTTTTGGTTGATCCACCTCTTTGGGCTTAAAATCCAAGTGAGATCAAGCAGAGGTGGCTTGTTCTTATTTTGTTATTACCTATTTAATTCACCGTTGATAATAATTGAAATAAAGGTTATGATGCCCCAAAGACCTTTGTAAAAGAGTACACGTAACGGTGTAACGTGTGATTTAATCGAAAATTCGACGTATAATTTTCATAGAAAGAAAGAGAGAACATTTTGACCATTCTTAAACATTCGGGGTAATTAAGTACATTATATAAAATTTGATATCTATTCTGCAAATAGAAAAAGAAACTATGTGAGAATGTGTGAATGATTATGCGAATGTATGGGAGAAAGTATATAAATAAATGTACTGAGAGATAAATACAGTTTGTTGCTTCCCAATTTTGGTTTTATTCTCAGTACAATATAGTATAAATATAACGTGTGGAACTTCGAAAGAAATGTTAATATTTGTCTTACATAAGCTACCATGTCAACAGTATCAAAGATTTTCCTTTGATATTCTTGACCCTGATAACAATTTTTTTTTTATATAAATATACATACATAATGTAACACATGGGCGTATATCCTGCGTACATACGAGTAAGTGGCAGTATCTCAAAAGTAAATACTGGCAAGTAATATTACAATATGTTAAGTGATAAAGTTCATTGCTTACTCTCTTTCTTTCTGTGATTATGTTTAGTCGATTATATTAAACAAAATTAAACAGACTTTTTTTGTACTGGAAATGGATTACAGGTTTACTTTTTAGTTGAATAAGTAAAATTGTGAAAAAATTTAATACATAAATAAGTCGTTATGTCGATTGAAAAGTAATCCTGTATTCAGATTCAGCCAAAGGACTTCTTCCGTATAGTTTTAATGGAAGAGACTGTGCAGTGGTATTCCCCGTGCTATTGCTTCAATGTTTATAACGCGTGACTTACAATTAGAGATCCGTAATCGATCAGTCAGTCGAATGTTAATATGTATAATGAATCCTCTTACGCGAAGTCACGTTACATACACCGATTAGCAAGGAGTTCGAGAAGACTTGTTTCTGTCACTGAAAGTTTTCGTTCACATTGACCATACTAGTTACGCCAATATTCATGTCCATATTCTAAGCACTACTTCCAAAACGATGTATAATCGATCATTGTTAACTCATCATGTCCCTATTGTGGAAACATTCTAAAGAAAACGTCCGGTCAGCCTTAGCGTGATCTACGGTACAAGGATGAACACGACTGGATCTTATGTCTACTATTGTATTTTGAACAGACAACTTTGTTCAATGGAGTTTTTGGACAGTGTTTAAGGAAAAGAGATATAACCATTAAATATCTTTGAGTGAATGTATAATTAATTATTATTATTATTATTTTTATTATTATTATTAGAAAAAAAGAGGGAATCAAAAAACACGAAATGAATGAGTAAAAGTGTGTATTACCATGCAGCGAGAATGAATGAACGAGTAAGTTAAAGAATAATTAATGATATATGCACTTATTACTATCTGGTATGTATATATGTATATATGCAGATAAGGTTTTATACGTGTGTATACATATATACATGTGTGTATGTATAATAAAATTGTGACAGTAATTAAGGAATACGTTATTTCATAAATAATGAAAGATACATCAACAGTTTATTGCTCTTTTAATCGCTATAAATAAAAACTGAAACATTGTATTATAGCGTTTATTTCATTAAGTGTTAGTTTTGATGCCAATACGCAATTATTATCGTTATCCAGAATGGTAAAAGTACATTGTTCAAAGTGTACGATAAAACTGCTCTAAAGAAACACGCAGTTTCTATGTTGCGATAATCTCGACACGTGGAATATGTAAAGGATATTTATGTAAATATTTTTAAGCCGTATATTTGACAATTCTTAAAAGATATACAGGAGCCACAAAGGTGCTGAACATTATCGTTCGCATTGTTAGTAATAATAACATTTGAATTTATAAAGTAACAAAATGCTGCAGTCTACTAGCAACGATGCACCGGTCATCGTGCTGTAGCCAATCGGAAATAAAGAAAACTCGCTCGCTCCAAAGTTACGTTATCGTTAGATTTAATCTGTTCCTTTCGTCAGATGCAAATTCATAATCGATTACGTGTTCTTCGTATACAAAATAGAGTAAATGTATACATATAAATACAATAGAATATGGATCATCTACCACAGACCATAGGCTGTGTAAAAACAAATATAAAACAAAGCTACAGATCAATACTTTCGTATTCCAGTCGGTTTTCGTGATAGCACATTTCGCTACGCTGAATACATAATGATAATATGAAATCTAAGTATTACAAATTAAGAATTAATAACACAGTAATGTATGAATTTTCCTAAGTTCTTGGGTTCCTACATTGACAGTAAAAACTTGTTCCGGACCATTATGAGGAATTGCGACTTCTGCAGCAAACAATTTACTCTCTTTCATCGCTGCTGCCATTTCACGATTTGGAAATACTGCGAAATTCGCTTCAGCCATTCCTCCTGCCGTTCTCTTTACAATTTCCTCGCGGACTTCACCCTAGAAATGATATACAACGTTTTACTTTCAGTTTGATATTACCGTAATACATTTCTTTAATAATTTGTGACTTACCACTAACTGATCAGCACGTTCTTTTAATTCTCTCATAACTATTTGACGTTGTAACAATTGGTAAATTGGCATTGCCTTTTTTAGTACTGGACCTTCCAAATCGGATGCTTTCTTTCGTCTCAAATCAGGAACAGTGGGGAACATCATAATTTGTTTAATATCCTGTGTATCAAAAAAAATAAATTTTCATTAGAAATTTAGAAAAATATGAGACACGATGCAAGTAACAATTTTTCAACTTACTTTGGTAAGATTGTTAGTCTTCTGTTTTAGTTCTTGAATTTTTACATCGGCCGATGTTGCTTTTGGCGGAAGTGTTATCGGATCCAAACTTTCTAATTTTGTACGTAATGCATTATACATTAATTTTTTCTTTTGTTGATTTTCACTATTCAAAGCTTCTTTGAGAGCACTTATTTCTTGTATTAAGAATTTATTGTCCACCGATTGAGGCCCTGATACTGTTGCAGCATTTCCAGTTATACTATCTGCTCCGGATACAGACATAGTCTTTTTTCCAATAGATTTTAATTTTTCCTTAAGTTGACCTCGTTCACTTTCCAAACTGTCGATATCTGTTTGAAGATGGTCCATCGTCTCTTCGAATTCCTTTTCTTTTCGTTTCAGTTGATTTTGAGCTTCCTCCAATTTTCTCTTCAACTTTTCTACGTTTAATTCATGCTCGTGTTGTTGCGTCGCAAGTTTCTTTTCAACAACATCTTTCCTTAAGATCATCTCACATAATTCATTTTGCTTTTCTCTCAGAGCCAATCTTGCTTCAAGTATATCGCTATCTCTGGTTTCCAATTTCCTACTAAGAACTTTCGTTTCTTCTGCCTCCTTTCTTGCAGCTTGTGCTCGTATCTTAATGGGCATTAAGGATTCACTCTCTGCACCTTGTTCCTGTTGTTGCGACAAGTGTCCACTTATCGCCAATTCATTTTCACATTCGGCCATTTTTTGTGCTAAATTGGCTGCCAATAGTTGTACGATCGACAAGCTTTCCTTAATTGTGGCTACAGGTCCTATATCTTCGGTATCGTACACTTTTTCACACGCTACAGAAGCCATCTCTTTTAATTTATCCGCACCGAGTCCTGTATCTAAGTCACCATTCGTTATAATTGCTTGTACAGCACTCTTTAACAATGTTTGTAACGTTTTCACAATCATCATTGCATGTCGATAACACGTAAACACCTGTTCACTGCAATCCTTATCCAATCCTAAATTAGATTCCGCCGCACGCAATGCGGTACCATGATCGGTCAATACTCGTCTTCTAGCTGATTTTAAGTGCTGTTGTATCACTTCGCAAGTCGTTTCCGCATGCTGACAAAGAAGACCTATGTCACCACCGTCCCCTTCAATTAACGTTTTAATCGCCGCAGCAATGGTTGTGATAGCATCGCAAGAACTGTCCAGCATTCTCGTACCATTAACCACCAAGCGAGCTTGGTTGATGGATTCCCCGAATAGTACAATAAACATAGTACAAAAGTATCCACAACATTTTTCGATAGCGTCCATCGGTAGGTTTTCATCCAATTGATCTCGTTTAGTTAATTCTATCAAGGAATCTAAAGATTTTTCTTGCGCGGCCATTTCCGGGTAAGCTGCGCCAGCTTTAAGTAACATTTCAGGGGTACAAACACTCAAGGCCGATTCGAAACAACCGAGGAACGTTTGCAATGCATACATGTACGAACAGAGATGTGATCTGAATGTATATTGTGCTACCGAATGACCCTTCACTACAGTTGCCCTGTCAACCTTGTCCAACGATCTATACTTGACTCGTACCTGCGATATAAGTATTTCCGTTTTCTGTATAATTCTTGGTATTAGAAGAAGCGTTAGAATAGCATCGTGATCTCCACCACGAACTAAGAATGCAGGAGGCATAAAGGATAATAAGTAGGCCACATGATTTTGTGCTTCTTCAGCTTCCAATCGCCGTAACTCAAGGTCAACTGCTTTTGTTTGAGCACGGGTTTCGGCGAAAGTCTTCTGGAAGTCTAAGATCTCTGCTAACTGTTGTTCCGCACCTCCCATTCCAAATTTAGAGGTTTCCGTTGATTGTACGCGTTGTTGTAGTTGCAAACATTGCTCTTGCAATTGTTGAGTGAGCTCGCGGAATTTAGTAATTGTTAGCTCACGATCCGCCAATGTTTCCAGAGCTGCGTCCCGATGTCGGTACGCATCACGGGCCGCTCCAAGAGCTAGATCCAATTCTTCGCGCAATTCTAATTCTAATTCTTTCGATGATTCAGCAAGTTGATCGGACATATCCTGTAAAGCTTCCAAATCTGATACAGCTTCCTCCAGTTCTGCAACTTTTTCTTCTAATGCCATTTTCTTTTCGCCAAGAACTTCGACCATTTCTTCAGCACCTAATGCGACATCGACCTGTTCTTGCAAGTCTGCTATCTGGTGTTCCATTTCTTCCACTCGTGCCGACAGTTTTTCTTTTGTGCGTCCTAACTCTAATATTTCCGATTTCTTTTGATCTAAATCTTTTTGAAGCTTCTGAAATTCATGCTTCTCGTGAGCGGAAAGATCTCGCATCCTAACCAGAGTTTCTCGTAAACGATTGTTTTGTTGTTCTAATTGTTTTACTTCATAATTTGAAGCTCCAGTAGCAGAGCCCCCTCCAGCAGCCCTCTCAGACATTTCTGTTCGTAATATTTCTAGATCTAACGTTTGTTCTTCTAATTTTTCCTTGAGTTGTTCCAATTCGATCTGTAACGTTTCAGCTTTTTCTTCGGCCATCTCTTTGTCTAATGTAGCCATTTCTACAGTTTCCGCGAGATCTGCCATTTCTTCTTGGAATTGTTCTCGAGCTATGTGCGCATCCCTTGCTTCTTGACGTGCCCGTTGAAGATCTCTTTGAAGACTAGCCTTATGTCATAAAATAAATAAGTAAACAACGTTCAAAATTAGTAGAAAATACATGGCGTTAGCTAAACAAAAAAAGACATTTATAAAATTCAGTCTGAATTCTAATTACTTGACTCTCCATAACTTTCGCCTTAAATTCCAGAAGTTGTTCGAATTGAAGCTTCGTTTTTTCGAAGTCTTTCATTCGTTCCTTATCTTGCATTCTTTTCACACGCAAAGTTTCCACTTTGTCGGTAAGGTCACGAACCTATAAATGTTCAAGTTAGATGTCTGACAAATGTAGTTCGAGGAAATAAACATTTTTCAAATGATCTACCTGAGATTTTAAGTTTTCATTCTCTTGTTGAAGTTGCAATTGTGACAGTTTCTCTTCTACCACATTTGCAGCTGCAGCAGAACCTGCCATTACTTGGCCAGGTACAAACTGTGGTTTTAATGTCTCTACAAAACCTGTCTAGATTGGAAACAAACAATAAATGAGACCATGGTCCAACGTAAATTGGGTGTTTCTTTTATTATCGCATTGGACAACGTACATACATATCGCAAATGAAATTCTTTGAGTTCTCTCGCATATACTTTACTCGCTGGTATACTTTAAAATGTCGTATTTCAAACAAATAATTTACGAGTGGTGTAAATAAATATAAAATATTTTATCTGCGGTAATGAAAAAAACACCCCATACTTCCTGTACAAAAACATTATGTTTTAGAAGAATGTTGTTTTTGTATGTACATTCAATAGAATTAGTCTATTTTAAAGTGATTAATGAGATTAATTGTAATAAAAGACACCAACAAGCTACACCGAATACTCTATTAGTTCTAACAAGTGTAGGAGATTCAATCGATGAATTGATCTGTGTTATATGACATTGGAATTTGCAGTAGGCACAATATTAACTAAATCAACTATCGTATCCTAACCATTTATAAGTATTAATTGCATTTGTATCAAGGATATCTAATTCTTGGTAAGTGATTAAAAGAAAGGAAAGGTTTAAGTAGTAGTATACCTTTATACCACAATGCTGACAAGTGCTTATTCGTAAAAAAAAGTTATTATTATCGCCTCGGTAATACGACTATAAGGGGAATTCAGCATCTAATTGTTAAAAAAAACAACTACATCTCTGAATACCCCTTCCTCTTAAGAGTTGTAGGGTATCAAAGCATCACAGAACTGAATTAACAAAGCGGATGCTTAATGCAACAGTGAATATGGTGGAGGATATATCAATTCCATAATCCATTAAGAACAGGTAAACCCATCAAAGTGCAATGATGCTAGTTGTTATGAAGTCATGTGTTACAATGCTTATGATCAACAAATAACTAGTATGAGAAAGTTTAAGGTCAGATGAGAAAAATTTAGATATTACAATTAATGAGTATTAATTACATTATTGTGATCATCTTGGGCCTTTGGCTTTTTGCCGGGAGGCGAGCTCGTGCTAGGGGACTTCTGAAACACGTACGTGCATTCCCATATGAATCATTCTGTGCCAACGAAATCATCTAACTTGTTCTCAAACTTTATAGTTTATCGTTTTATTTTTCTAAACATTTCCAAGAATCTCTCTGACAACGAAGTATATGCACTGAGAGGCATTTGTTACATTATTACCACATCACAGAATAAGATTCTCTAAATACAATAGCAGTAAACATGTAAATTACTTTGGATAGCCCAAAGATTCAAAGATAATAAAATCAATGACTTCTTATTAACTTGAACATGAAAATATATCATGTTAAAATGTATTTTTACATCTCATTTAAAACATTATACCATATATCCATGCCTTGTTGAATCCTCAGAATAATCCATTGATTGTGTTTACACAAATAAATGGTACATCAACTTATTATAATTGTCACTGCGAAAAGTATCATTTTTCATATAGAGAGACAATACCTCGATAAATGAAGCTCTTTTAGTAGAAGTGGGTGCCGGTATAAGCGATTCTCCTCCATCTTTACGTTCGTGTTGCGATCCAGATAAACTTTCTGTACTGGGTGCACTCAATAGTGTTCTGCTACCAGCCAAAGACAATCGTGAGCTGCAAAGATTATAGTTTTAATAACTTGTTTTGTTCAAATAACTTGAGTATTCACAATATCAAAACTAATACAATATAATATTTTGTAATGACATTAAAGTCACATATTCTTGCATATAAATCACGTAAAGTGTAGAAGTGTCGAACATCGATTAACAAAAGAACCTATAGACAATAAGCATAGATAAATTCGTACATTATTATAATACGAACAGAAAAGATAATAAATTAAAAGTAGCTACATACAAGTGGCTATAGAGATGGTACAAGAAAGAATCACAATGGGCCAACTGAGTGATGTATCTGTGTGTACTTGGTTTATTAGTTGTCATTGGTGAAAAACTTATTCGACTGTTGCTTCATTGGACTGAATTTTCAAAAATCCATTTCATAGATAAATATTTTATCTTTCTAGTGCATTTTTAAAATACTTCATATTGTAATACGGTAAACTAATTGCAATTATTTACCATTTGCACACATAAAAGCATTTAAACAATATGTTGAGACAGACACTTTTCAACGATCGATGTATACAAAGTCTTACCCAGAAAGCTTGTCAGATTGCTGCCGGGTAACATGCGCAGGAGATGTTTTTCTCCGTACTCTTTTATGACCAGCATACGAATTTTAAGAATCTATTAATTATACCTATCCTTTCTTTTAAATGATTACTACTGATATAAAAAACATTTCACATTTTATGGTAAATAATTTGAACCATTGTATAAAAAATAGAAACTTACGCAGTGGGTTCATTCCTTCGATGTGTACTAATAGAAGCATGAAATTTATATCAATATGGTTAATCATACTTGTACATATTATGCCAAGAATATTCTAGCAAACAGAATACCTAAAAGTAGGTGGATTGTAAGCAACAAACATGAGACATACCTATTTAACCGACTTCTAGCCCTTGCTACGCTGGCTTCATCCGGTGTAGTAGCACTACTACCTGCCGAAGATGGACTAACAGGTTCTGTTCTATTACCTGCTTCATCCAATAAAATAAGCTGGGACTGCCGTACAAACATTCCATGGTTTTCTGCACACTAGAGCAATGAAAAAAACTTTTTAGTTCCACTAAAAATTGAATCTCTTTTTTACATCCAAGTGTCTTACCTTAAAATATGAATGACCCTTAATAGTACCGTTGTTCTTTCCTTTCGGTTCATCGAGAATTACTCCAATCCATTTTCCCGAAGCAAAATTTGGGTGACCAATGTAAGCAATTTCTCCTTGACAGTCCTTGCCAGGAACCTCAACGCGTTGTCCGATTTTATAAGACATTTCAACTGTATCGAATTTTTATATGCGATTCTTTGCAAATACGTCCATTGATTCATCTAACCTAGTGTGATCTTTTTAAACCTTCCCTTCTATTTCACACATTCCCTTTACTCCAAAATAAATACTATGTATTAGGGTCGAAACTAAATATGACAACATATGACACGTTTTGACTCAACGAGGTGCAGAATCTGACAGGTCTGACAGAATAAACCTAGCATCCAAAGGAATAGTTGGGTGCATCCAGAAAGGCCACCGTTCATTAAGCCGCTCAGTGAGCGAGATTTAATACCAGTGGCGCTATTAGTGAGAAAACGCCCAAGTTTGTAGTGAAAATAGTTCCCACTGTCAACGCTAGATAGAGCCATTTGTTTGTTATAATTAAAAAATGAAGGGTTGAAGAGTTAAAAAATTATTCTCATTTGAATTTTAGTATTACAATGCTTGTTCATTTATACATTATTGGATATAACAAAAAATCATTGTACGAATACATATATCACCATCCGGAGTCAAGAATGGGAGACTATCTTCATTATAAACTTGGACGTTTTCCCACCGATGGCGCCAATTAGTATTAAAACTTGCTGAAAGAGGTTTATTTTTATATGTGTTCTCAAATGATTTATAAAATATATTATATTGTGAGAGCTTGCGTATCTCTACCTACACGTTCACGCGAGTAGGAGCCTTGGGAATCCAGTTTGAGAAATACTGTTCTTTTTTATCATTTCAATATCAAATTCAACCTTATCGATTCAGAATAGAATAAGATTACAGCGCTATTAACAACTTTTGGAAATATTCAAGGTATCCCTTAAAAGGAGCCAGGGCTGTCGTAAAATAAGGGGCCTATATTTTTATGATGTGATTTAATGTAGTGTGAAAATATTATATTATTCGTGATGTTCAAAAACACGTACAATTCATTTTGTAGGAAAGATATTATGAGAGACTATTGACGTGGATTAATTTTTCCAAGATTTATAATTTTAAGTGTCATAATTTTGTACAGGGTAGAAAATTATTTGACTACTGCTTCGAAGATTGTATAAATATGTATATGACATCAAAATAGTATTTTACGTTAGTTTTTTGACAAAATAGTTTTGTGCGTGGGTGCGTGTATATACATATATTATTTATACTGTAGATTCGGTAAACATTAATCAACACATGCAGCGTGGGTAGCGTCTTGTACGAAAGATTCCAACTAAATTTTATAACCACTCGATTAATATGACGTTCTGGTATCATTGACATCGGATGTGTTTTTCTTTCTTAACTTAATACTTCCTTATTTAAATGGCACAGTAAATTACTACAAAGTACTTATGGCTAATCATTACGAGGTGCCCAATTGGTATGTTTGCAAACTTTCTGTTGGTATTTCTGAATGAGTATTTAAATATTTTTGTGACACACAATAATAATATCTATCAAGCCAAATGTTTACCTGATATTAATAGCTAATATAGGTTATGTTTTTCAGGGCAGGGAAGCCACCAGTCGGATTACATTTAGATGTATTAAAAAATGACAAATTAATTCAGGTATTACAACTGTGTATTACGTACCATAATTAGAGGTTTGCACCTCTAGAAGAAAGATCTTAAAAACACTTATACTTTGTTACAGAAATTAATGGTAGATGAAAAGAAATGCTATTTGTTTGGCCGTAATCAACAGTTGAACGACTTTTGTATAGATCATGCATCTTGTTCTCGTGTTCATGCTGCCCTTGTTTATCATAAACACCTAAATCGAGCATTTCTCGTCGATTTGGGTAGTAGTAAGTATTTAGAAAATAATCCAATAACTATGTACTTTACTATGAAAACTGAAAATGAGCAACAAATGTCTTTTAAATTTTAATCTTTCAGCACATGGAACTTTTATAGGTAATATGAGATTAGAAGCTCATAAACCTACCCAGTTACCAATCGACAGTACATTTCATTTTGGAGCTTCTACTCGATATTATATCATTAGAGAAAGACCTCAAACAGGTACAAGACCTATTATCGAGGAACTAGAAAAACTGTCAGAAGATATAGATGCTGGTGGTTTATTAGGTTTACCTGAAACAGAGACAGAACTCGATGTATGTGCTAAATAATAATTATCTTTGAATTACATTAGAATCTATAGAAATAATTCTATTATTTATTACAGAATTTAACAGAATTTAATACTGCGCATAACAGGCGCATATCTATGCTGGGTATAACGGACGATGAAATTCACAAACCAACGAGAAAACGAAAGAAAAAAGGAATTACATTTAACGATGACGAAGAAGTAATAAATCCGGAAGACGTCGATCCGTCGGTCGGCAGATTTCGTAATCTTGTACAAACTACCGTAGTTCCCAGCAAAGTATGTGATTTAATGTATCATACAATACATTTGTATACTCAGCGTGATTTCTAACTAATCAAAAATATTTAACGTGTCTGTTATTTATGTCTATTTTAGAGAATGCGTATGGAAGGAGGTTTGCTATCTTTATCCGAAGATCACAATCCTTTGAAGCACCTTCAACCTACATCAACTACACCTCAACTTTATCAAGATTTACCACCAGAACAGTTTACCCCGTCATCATTATCTCTTAACCCGTTCTCTAGTGCATTATCTTCGTTAACGTCACGTCTTGGTATCGCGTTACCAAATCCGGCACCCGAAGTAGAGATGACACCCAATCAAATTCAAGCGGAAGCGCCACATGTACCAGAAATACAAGGACCTACGGAAACACGAACAATGGAACCAAAAAAGAAAAAATATGCCAAAGAAGCTTGGCCTGGAAAAAAGCCCATACCAACGCTTCTAGTGTAATAGTATTAGGAAACTTATTTTTACTACATAGTTCTATTATACAGGTTCTAGAAATTAAGTTATATAAGAATTTGTGTATAAATTCGTCGTATAAAGTTTCAGGAAAAACATTTAGTTAACATCATATGCTTATGTTCATATTTCGAAACTTTAAACCGAATATATTTTAAGCATAATTGTACAACAGCGTCTTAGAAGACGTACATTATTGAATTAATTCATTTGTTACTTTGTCGCAAAGATCAAAATTATAACTAAAATTTGCTGTAAGATACACAGGTATAAATAAACAGAGTTTTATCTTACTTTATACGAATACAAACACTGTTATACGGTAGCAACATGTAGGTACTTCTTGTTAGCAACAGGACAGTAATACTGGTCTCATGCAATTGTCGTACGTGTTGCGAAACAATTGTTATTCATGTACACAGTCCATCGATTATAAAAATAATATTACTAAAGAAACATGTGAAAACAGTATTTCGTAAATGTATATTCTTTTTTTCATTTACAAAATATCAACAATTTCATCAAAGAGAATTAATTTTATTACAAAAATAAACAAATTACAAAACATAAGCGAGGTATAAAAAAAAAAGGTCCTTTATACGGTACAATTGATCATGTCGATTTAGTTTTCTCTTTTTCGGGTAGCTGGAAGTGCCGATACATTTGAGGGAACGGTATGGACTTATTTTTAATATTCTAGCGAAGCATCGGGTGTAGTCGACGATTCAAGAGCAACTTCTTCGTAATCCCTCTCGAGGGCGGCGAGATCGTCGCGTGCTTCCGCAAACTCACCTTCCTCCATCCCTTCGCCAACGTACCAATGAACAAACGCCCGTTTATGATACATTAGATCAAACTTGTAATTCAGTTTTGCCCATGCTTCTTCGATGGCCGTGGTGTTCGACAGCATCGAGACCGCTCTTTGTACCTAAACGATCTCCTACTAGTTAGTTTCCTCGTGTACACGATTACTCTGAATAATTTAAAAAGAATAAAATTGTCTCTTCTATTGGGCCAATTAACGACGGACCTTTGAATTTGTATCTCGAAAGAAATTCGAAACTCCCAAGTTTTGAATCGCTTCGAACATTATTCGATACCAGAAGGCTATGACAAGTCTTTGTTGGTTCTACAGTTATGATTGGTCTCAATTTGTCTTAGTTGATCTTAATCGGTTGAATTAGTCTTGGTCGTTCTTGGCTGCCTTGATGAGCTTTAGAACTCTTAGCGAATCTTGAACATTGTACGTAAATAAATTTATGTATATATCGATGAACAGTTCTACGATCGACTGAGCGCATACATGCGCGTCTATCGCCCGCAAAAGGTCAAGGCAACAAGGTCAAGATTTTAAGAAGACTCAGACTTTCGGTATCCGATATAGAATAATATTCGAAGCAATCCGGGCGTGACGTTATAGATTACAAGAAATTCGATAACACTTCAGGTCACCGCTGATTAAATACGTAAATTACCTTGCAATACAATGTAGAATTCAAAAGTCACTTGTCGTTTTCTAAAACGATGATGTGACAATTTTATCCTTTGATTATTATCAGGAAGGACAGGAGACAATTACGCAATAATTGATACCTTTGCGAGATCCCCACCGGGAACAACGGTAGGCGGCTGATAATTGATACCGACTTTGAAACCCGTTGGACACCAGTCGACGAAACGTATGCAACTCTTGCCCTTCATCGCGGCAATCGCCGCGTTCACATCTTTGGGTACAACGTCGCCACGATACAACAGGCAACAGGCCATGTATTTCCCTTCCCGCGGATCGCACTTTACCATTTGATTAGATGCTTCGAAACATTCGGACGTTATCTCTGCGACGGACATACCCTCGTGGAAAGCCTTATCGGCCGATACCACTGGGGCGTAGGTCGCTAACGGGAAATGGATTCTAGGGTATGGTACCAAGTTCGTTTGAAATTCGGTCAAGTCCACGTTTAAAGCGCCGTCGAATCTCAATGAGGCGGTAATCGAGGACACCACTTGACTGATAAGGCGATTAAGATTCGCGTATGAGGGACGCTCGATGCCGAGTTTTCGCCGACAGATATCATAAATCGCTTCGTTGTCGACCATGAACGCGCAATCCGAGTGTCCGATTGTGGTATGAGTTGTCAGTATTGCGTTATATGGTTCCACGACCGCAGTGGATACCTACAATAATTTTTTATTTATGAAAATTTTAAATCATGACACTTCTATTATCGTAGAGAGAAGAAATAAAGATCAGATCTGTATTAAGGAGAAATGATGGCAGCAAGCTGGAAACATGCAGGAAATATTGTGCGATATCGTGCATTCGGGTCTGGCCTGAAATGTACAAGGAATCATACAGGAAATTGGCTTTACGAAGGCTAAAACATTTGACTCGATACTACCGGTGGTTTTACCAGAACTGATCTGTCTTTCTTCCACGATACGCAAAGGATAGAGTTTATTAAAGTCATATTTACGAATCGATTTTGGGATTACCTTGAAACCACTCGCAGGTTCTCAAAAGAACCGTAATGTGATTTCAAGGGAAAGTAAACACGGAAACGTGAGACTCTTATCGTTTAACAAATATTGAATGCGGTGCTTATCTAAAAACATAATGCAAAAAAACAGTTTACCGTAGATAACAAACCATTTATCATAATTCTATTAGTGTAATATATGTTTTTAACTGCGTCTGAGTAAACTGTATTAAGATAAGGCAATTGCATAATTTAAATGTCTCGTATATGATATGACAATTTTCCTTTGTTCGAAAGAACTTCGTTGCAAAGCAACATTTTTATAATTTGATCATCTCGAAGATAGTCAGTCGCCACTTATGGTCAACAACAGAATATTTCTCGCCGAGTAATGTCTATACCTATCAAATATTTGATAAATTTACTTATCGATGTTCGCCAAAATTAATAGTAATACAAGTATCCAATTACCGCTTATCGATAGATTTCGAATGATTGTATTCTATGATATGCGTTGTCTCGGAACAGATAAACACGATCATTTATAGAATGGACGATTTGTGACGTTGATCGCTAAAATTGACGAGTCACAAATCCAGCGTAAACAATTATAAATTGACGAAATTCTTATTTAGACAACGGTGTCGAGTAAATGATCGTACTTGTGGTGCGGGATAGACGGCAAATTCTAATTTGCTTTTCTTTCCGTAATCGTCGGATAATTTTTGCATAAGCAAGGAAGTGAATCCCGAGCCGGTACCTCCTCCGAACGAATGGAAGACAAAAAATCCTTGAAGGCCTGTACACTGATCGGTCAGTCTTCGTACTCTGTCCATCACAGAGTCGATTACTTCTCTACCGATGGAATAGTGTCCGCGGGCATAATTGTTTGCGGCGTCCTCTTTTCCGGTAATTAGTTGCTCGGGATGATAGAGCTGTTTGTACAGTCCTATTCGCACTTCGTCTATGGGTAAATTTTTGTTTAATATACGCCTCGAGAAACATAGGAATACTTCGTTTTTTAATAGGGATCACGGTTTTGAACGGATATTAAAATACACGGGTACACGGAACACGTGTACCGTGTATTAAGGGATTACGAACACGGATATTTCTAATACACGGATACCCGAGTATTGAAATACGCTGACACCCGGATATCTAAATACACGGGTACCCGGATATCAAGATACACGGATATCCAGGTACGTACACGTGCATCGAAATATACGGATACGCATACATCGAATTATTCGGGTACAGTATCCAATTATTCTTATGTACAAGCTTTTATGCAACAAAAGCTTTTATTCTAAAATAATGATCCTTATTAATTTTGAAAAAATTGATAAGCAATAAAACAAATAAATAAAAAGCATATAAACATAAGAAGAATAAATACAGATATAACAGAATAAATTTTTTAGTGTAATTTGTAAAACTTTATTTATTAATTAAAATAACTGTTCAAGTCAATGTGCGTACCCGTGTATTTCGATGTACGTGTACGTACCTGGATATTTGTGTATTTCGATACCCGGGTACCCGTGTATTAAAACATCCATTAATTACCAGTGTACTCGTGTATTTCGATACACGTGAAGTAGGGATCTCTACTGTTTCATCAAATCTCTATCAATTTTTGTTGCTAGAATGAAATATTAACCAACGACGGTAGGTTCGAGGTCCACCATAACAGCTCGTGGTACCATTTTGCCTGAACTAGTTTCATTGAAAAATGTATTGAAGCAATCGTTCGTTCCTGACACCTTGTCGGAAGGCATCGTTCCATCTGGTTGAATTCCATGCTCGAGACAATACAGTTCCCAGCACGCGTTGCCCATTTGAACGCCGGCTTGACCCACGTGCATTGAAATACATTCACGCTGAAATGAAATCCATCTTTCAAACGACGAAGTTCCTTTTAAGGGCGGAAACATTGTTTCGATGTTATTCAAGACATGTTATCAATTTCAAGCGCGAAGGCGTTGCACGATCGTAATCATTGAATTTCGTATATTAAAGGTCTTACCATTTTGATAATTTTTTAACGATACGTTCGTTGAGATGAAGATTATTTCGAATTTTCTTAGATCGCCGAACCAAAAAGAAATTAAGGGTACCTATTAATTACGAAAAATTTTGGATGTCGGCCTTCCGCTAGCCAGGAAAAAAGTACTGTGATAATTTATTACTGTTGCCTGGACAACCTATGTGAATCGCGTAATGAAGTTAAACGAAGAAAAAAAAAAATGAAAACACTTACCGCCTATTTTTTCATATAGGACAGCGTTCACGAATTAAACGAGGGGCTGAGAGGCATATTTCGCACGATCATCGTTGTCTCTTAGGGAATCCATCATGCGAAAGGGGCGCACGAAAGAAAATGTTTCTATTCGGTTGTTCGGAAAGTTCATGCCTATTTTTAAGAAAAATTCAAAGGTATATTTGAATTTTGATGTATATTTATTGAATTATATATGTACCATTTTGTTCCATAACCTTTCCACCTTTCCACCACATATGTACACATTTTATTTGTTTTCAGCCATTCCGATATATTCAGACCTGTATCGCCTACTAAAAATCGGTATGGACTTTCCAGACAGCCTAATATTATTCGAATAAAATTTTGTCCATTTCTACCCCATATTCCTTGATTCCGTCGTTACTTTGATAAACTTTTATATTTTTATCTGTCAGCTGTTCGTTGAAATTGCATGATTTTTTACATTTAATTTGCTTAGTGACTTATCACTTTATATCGTAAATTTTATCAATAGATTGCAATCTTTGAGGGACAAATAATCGTTTTCAAGCAGAGGTATACTAAAAATTAGTTTTAATAACATACGGCAAGTAGTCTAGACATCGGCATAAGTGTTTTTCAACCGTGTCTTGCATTCGTAATTACCTAACAAATAAAAGAAAATGATGAATGATTTTTTTTTTTCATTTTCATTGTTCGCGATACGTTTGATTCTGACCAATTCTGACGTAAGTATACATGTAACTGTACTACGTCCAAAAATAGATGGTCGATGTGGCGTCAGTGGTACGGCTAGAAATCAGATCGACGTTTTTCGTAATATTATATATTATCTTTTACAAACACCGTGTTATGTATTACAAATTGCAATACCAGGGGACTTATATAATTGTATCGAATCGATCATGCGCGTGCTGACACATGTGCCCCTACACGTTAAATCATTTTCAGATAGATTTCTTGTTATCTGTTCACGTATGTATGTAACGAAAATCTTGCCACCGGATCGCGAAAGTCTGAGTACGAGTAGTAACCAGTAATAACTCGTAACTCTTCGATGATGACTCGAAGAATTCCGACGTATTAACACGAACTCGGCGCTTTCAACAGACTGACAAATTATTTCGAATTTTGTTTGAGCGGGATGGTTTAATCTAGTACGAATAACATTAGTTTACATAACAGAATCAGTCATGGATGCTAGTAAAAAGTATGATAATCCTAATCCGAAATTAACAGCGAATCCGTTTAGTAAATTAATATTTTGGTGAGTGTTTGATATTAATCGTAGGAATCTTTTCCACGTGTAACATTATTATTTATTTTAACATTTAAGGTGGTTAAAACCCCTGTTTTGGCTTGGAAAAAATGATGGTCTTGAAGTTAAGGATGTATACAATGTTATGCCAGAGGATGTTAGCGAACCTCTTGGAGATAAACTTGAAAGGTAAATATCAGAAAAATATACACGAATTTAACATTAGTCATGTTTTTCAAACAAAAGTTATGTTATCAATTATATTTTTATTATCTTTGTATTTAGGAATTGGTTTAAAGAAGTTAAAGCAGCTAACAGATCGTGTAGAAAGCCAAAATTTTTTAGGGCTTTAAAAAAAACATTTTCCTGGTCATTTTCTTATTATGGAGGATGGCAATTCTTCGTATCGGTTATTTTAAAGTAAATATTTGTTGTTACCATACTACTACATAAATATTATTTAATCTTAAATTATGGATAATGTTATTACATTGTTATAGAGTTTTGCAACCATACATCCTAGGCCTTCTTATTTGGCATTTTGATCCTAGAGCAGTATCCACTGTTACAGAAGCATACATTTATGCTTCATGTGTTGTACTTATAGCTTTAGTTAGTGCTTTAATTACTCATCATTCAAATTTAGGATTAATGGAAGTTGGAATGAGAATGAGGATAGCATGTTCCTCTGTGATGTATAGAAAGGTGACATATTATCTTTTATAAATCCATATATTTAGCAATTGTTTTAATTCAAAATGCTTTACTTTTATAGATTTTACGTTTATCTAAATGTTGTACAGAGGTTGCAACTCCTGGGCAGATCATAAACTTAATGTCAAACGATGTAGCAAGATTCGAACAGTTGTTTATATCGTTACATTATATTTGGATCTTACCGATTCAAGGTGTTCTTATAGCTTATATGATGTGGAGAAGTATAGGAATTTCTTGTTTAGCTGGTATTATTCTTATAAGTATTCAAACTATACCACTGCAAGGTACACATTATTGTTTATTAATATCGTACTTTTTGATTAAACAAAAGTAATATTAATAATCTTATCTTCTTTTTTAGGATATATAGGAAAATTAACATCAAAGTTACGATTAAAAATTGCAGTTAGAACAGATGAAAGAGTACGTTTAATGTCAGAAATTATTAGTGGAATTCAAGTTATTAAAATGTACACTTGGGAAAAACCATTTGAAAAGCTTGTTAGCCTTGCTAGAAGGTTCTTACCTCGATATTGTATTTATAAACAACAAAAGCTGTTAATAACTCCCTTTATATCTATAATAATTTTTCAGCTACGAAGTGGATGTACTTACAATTTCATCATACTTAAAGGGTTTTACTTTAGCCACATTTGTGTTCACGGAGCGAACGACGTTATTTTGTACAATTATGGCATATGTACTTTTGGGAAATAATATATCTGCTGATAAAGCATTTTCAATGGCACAATACTTTAATATTCTTCAAGCTACTATGGCGATACTGTATCCTATGGCTGTATCAGCTATTGCAGAAGCTAGTGTGTCTATTAAGAGGCTCGAGGTAAGCCATTTACATTATATTATATTATTTCATTTACTAATTTATTCATGAAAATTAACGTTTTGTTTTTAGCATTTTCTATTGTTGAAAGAAAACAATAATTTCGATGACATTAAACAAGTGAAAGGAAATGGTAGTATTAGTATGAAAGGTATTACAGCGTCTTGGACGGAAAATGCTATCGCAAATACGTTACATGATATTAATATTCACATAGAACCTAAGAAACTTTATGCTGTTGTCGGTACAGTTGGCGCAGGAAAGGTAATATTGAAAAGAATTATGTTTAACTTGGATTTGTAAAATCAAATTTTTGCATCTTGCATATATATTTTCAGAGTTCCTTTCTTCAATTAATTTTGAGAGAACTAGTGCAATCGGAAGGAGATATACATGTAAACGGTAGTGTATCGTATGCCAGTCAAGAACCGTGGTTATTTTCGGGCACAGTACGTAATAATATACTTTTTGGACAGCCTTATGATTCAAAGAAGTATAATGAAGTTGTTAAAGTGTGTGCTCTTACAAAAGATTTTCAACAATTTAATTACGGAGATAAAACGTTAGTCGGAGATAGGGGTGCGTCACTCAGTGGTGGTCAACGAGCAAGAATTAATTTAGCTAGGTAAATTGAAACTCAGAGAAAACAACTTTGTTCTTATCGCTATGCGTAGCTGGAAATTTACATAGATGATTATTACAACAGGGCTATATATAGAAATGCAGATATTTATTTGCTAGATGATCCATTATCAGCAGTGGATACTCATGTTGGAAAACATTTATTTAACGAATGCATAAAAAATCATCTTAGTAATAAAACAAGAATTCTTGTAACACATCAAATACAACATTTGAAGTATTGTGACCACATTATCGTATTAAATAATGTAAGTCTGATGATTAGAAATATTTAGTTGTCCTTGCATCGGTATTATTATTATTTTTATTCTAGGGCAAAATTGAGTACAATGGTTCGTTTGCAGACCTTCAAAATCAACACATAGATTTCTTAAAGCTGCTTTCCTTAGAAGATCATAAAGAAGATTCGGAAAATATAGAAACCATTGAAAATAATATACTCGATATATCCATTAATTCCAGTAATAGTAAGAGTGATGAAGAATCTGAGCCACAAGAAACGGAGGAACTAATGGGCAAAGGAGGCATCTCAAAATCACTTTACTGGAAATATTTTCGAGCTGGAGGCTCAATTCTAATGATCCTCAGTTTTATATGCGCTTTAATTTTGGGACAACTAGGAAGTAGCGGTAGCGATTATTGGGTTGCTTATTGGTTAGTGTTTGTGTTTTATACCTATTGCTTATTTTCTACATTACAATCTTATTTACTTTTTTTTTTTCTTCAGGACAAAACAAGAAGAGATACGCGTAAAACATATTACTAACCACACGCTAAACATATTTAAACAAAATGATACAATGCCTCCTGTGTTTACAGATAATGTAGATGAGCTAATTAATGATACGTTTACATCAAGCATAGATCACTTTAACGATACAATTACTGAATTATTAACAGCCTCTGGAAATCGGAGTTCAGATAATATTGTTAGTAATTTTATATTTTTTTTTTGTTCGCATTTGATAAACAACAATTATTTTTATTCTTTACTCCACATAGACGTGGAATATTAACGTAGGACTCCATGACAACTACTACCTCGATACCAGCACTGCCTTATGGATTTACGGATGTTTTATCCTTGGAAGTATACTAATGACTACAATTAGAAATCTCATGTTTTATAAGATATGTATGAATGCTAGTAGAAATCTACACAATCAAATGTTCTCATCTTTAATAAAAGCGCCGATGCTATTTTTTGATACGCATCCCTCTGGCAAGTATCACGTCAACATTGCATACTAACGATTCGCATACTATTTAAACGGTCTCGGTAAAATTTGATAACATTGGGTTGCAGGTCGTATCCTGAATCGTTTTTCAAAAGATGTTGGAGCAGTGGATGAGATTTTACCAAAGACAATGATAGAATCCATCCAAATATTTGCAGTAATGGTAGGAATTTTAATGCAAGTTCTTATTGTTAATTGGTGGACGACATTTCCAATGATTGTTATGGGTTACTTGTATTGGCATATACGAACCATTTATCTTAAAACTGCACAAGATATGAAACGTTTTGAAGGAGCGAGTAAGCATTTTTGTAATTTCTTAACACTCCGTAATTTTGTCCTTTAATGTAACATTATTAACAATCGTTTAAATTTTCAGCAAAAAGTCCTGTTTTCTCGCACATTAGTTCTTCATTATTAGGTTTGGTCACAATTCGTTCGGCTTCTGCGCAAAATATGCTTCGTAAAGAATTCGATATTCATCAAGATCTCCACACTAGCACCTATTATTTGACTGTAGCAACAAGTATTGCTTTCGGAGTAGCATTGGACATTGTGTCTGTTGGATTTGTTACTTTTATCACGTATAGCTTTATTATTCTGGATGATGGTAATTCATTATTTGATAGTTTTATCAGTACTAGTCATCGGCATGGTATTTCAGAAACGTATATTTGTGTTTTCAGGAAATACATTTGCGGGAAATGTGGGTTTAGCCATCTCGCAAGTATTAATTTTATGCGGAATGCTTCAACATGGAATGCGACAAACTGCAGAAACGATAGCACAAATGACCAGTGTTGAACGAATCATACAGTTTACACAAGTCGATAGAGAGGGTCCATTTGAAAGTGAACCTAATAAGAAACCATCGGCACAATGGCCTTCCAAAGGAGAAGTTCGTTTCGAACATCTGTATTTACGCTACGATGATTCGGCGCCTCCTGTCCTCAATGATTTAAGTTTCCAAATAAAAGCCGGCGAAAAAGTAATTCATTTACTAATTAAATACGTAGACAGAGTATGTACTAAAAATTAATTATAAAATTTTACTTTTCCAGATAGGGATAGTAGGTCGTACTGGCGCTGGTAAAACTTCTCTAATATCAGCTTTGTTCCGTTTGACTAAACTCGAAGGTAGCATTTACATAGATAACTTAGATACAAAGGAAATAGGTCTTCATGACTTGAGGAAAAAAATTTCTATTATTCCGCAAGAGCCCATATTGTTCTCCGCAACGCTTCGAGATAATCTCGATCCGTTCCACAACTTCGACGATGCCACTCTTTGGGCAGCTCTCGAAGACGTTGAACTGAAATCGGGCACTTCTTCTTTAGATTTTACTGTTCAACAAGGAGGAACTAATTTCAGTGTGGGTCAAAGACAATTGCTTTGTCTAGCACGAGCGATTATAAGAAACAATAAAATTCTTGTCCTCGATGAGGCTACGGCTAACGTAGATCCTACTACGGATACTTTGATACAAAAAACTATTAGACAAAATTTTAAGAACTGCACTGTATTAACTATAGCGCACAGATTAAACACAATAATGGACAGTGACAAAGTGTTAGTTATGGATCATGGACAAGTGGTTGAGTTTGATCACCCATATATTCTACTCCAGAGGGAAGGTCATTTTACTAGCATGGTAAAAGAAACTGGAAAACTAATGTTCGAGCAACTTAAGGAAATTGCAGAAGAGGTACACCATACATTTTTCTATTAATAATTACTATTTTTTTAAAGCAGTGTCTTCTAGTTTTAATAATTTATTATTTAATTTTTTAGGCCTACAATAGTACTAAATATACAGAGTCAAAATTAGAACCAAACACTGTTGATGACAGTACAATTTTGAAGGACAGTTGAGATACCATTAATATGTATACAGTAGAATTGTACTTAATTCATGCCATAAGGATACTTAACACTGAGTACATGATACAATTTTATACTTTTTTTCATTTATATACCTGTTTAAATAATTTAAAAATTAATCTACTATTACAATGTTTCACAGTCAGTGTAAGTACTTATTTCTAACATACCTCAGGCAAATACTCTTATATGACAATTATAATGAAAGTAAAAAATAAAAGTACAAAAATAATGAAAATAATTGATAACTTTTAGGCAACAGTGAAAGTATTGACAAATGAGTAATAATAAGGTATATTATTACTATATTTTATATATCCAAATTTTGATCATCCTTAAACATTTTGCATTATAAAACATATTTTATATATTTTGGTTTTACAAACATTTCTAAACACGCATTTTTATCAGTAATATTGTACAGTATTATAACAGATTTTCATGTACTATATACATTTACAACAATCTAGACTATGATTGTCCTGAAAATTGTTAATAAACTATGTATACAGGTATCTGGAACTTTTTTCTTTAACACACTGGTACAAGTCTGTGTGATTAATTAGATTATAAAAATTCATTTAAACGAATTATCTTGTCTTATACAGTACTATTCGTAAAAATTAATACATTGTCTGCTAACAAATCTTTTATTAAATTAATTGAACAGCACCGCTTTTAACTAAATGCGCCACAGCGCTATATTGTATAATGTGCTGCGAGCCTGATTCAAAATCAATTTCTTCATCCAACGACCCAGGCAATATAATTCCATTGACTCTCTCGTTAGCTCTTAAAAATACATATGCCTGCATGTTGGGCTTTACAATCATTTTATTTACTTCGAATGCATGAAAACTGCCAGGCATGTGTTGCAAAGCAACCGTTCTAAAGAGTGTCTCTATACTGGCAAGGAACTCTTTAGCAAATTGAAGTTCTGGAGTTGTTAAATAACATTCTTCTGGAGATCTGTTGGCCTCCTGCGAAAGTATATGAATAGTATATTTCTCGATTTTTTCCAATCGAGCCCTGAGATAACTGGATATCACGAACTTGATCCTGTCCAACTCCATTCTATGAATCATTAACCTCAAATCCCCTTTCTCTAACCTCTTTATGTTTTCCTCCATGTGTGTAATTTGTTGCAGCATGCAGTCGACCAGATCGGACTGATGGGGCAGAATCTCGGGTGCGAATTTTTCGTTCAACCAAGCTTCTTCTATCGCTAATAAAGCACTTTGAGCGGTTAATTCCCTTTCTTCACGGTCTTCACTCTCATCCAGTATGTGCGCTTCCGAATCATCTTCCATATTTCACAATTTCATTTAGAGCACTTTATTTGGTGAAGTATTATCCTATTTGAAAAAACGCTAAGTACACTTCAACGTACTAAACCACTCAGTTGTTTGCAGATAGTGATTGTGTTGTCACTTTAAATTTTACGGCATGTCACCGGCTGTCACGTGACCCGAAGTTCATGTTTCTCGCTATCTATGTCAACTGTGGCTATTTAAATTTGACTGCCAGGACATTTAAATCTGAATAATAACAAAGCATCTTCAAACATGAGTTCGAATAAAGTTTCTTTACCTACTCCAATCATCCCCATTACGTTGTATGAATTGGACCACACATTTTTTATCAGCCTGATGTCTTAAATGTCCACATTGATTACATTGCTTCTTATGAATTCAAAGCGTAAAAAGCACATTAATATTAAATTATAGATTAAATTGGGTTTTCGTATAAAATTAAATGCTATTTTAATGGTATTAGGAAAGCACGTAAACCTATGGAGGAATATAATTTTATTTTATTTAGTAATTAGATCGAGCTAAATAACATGTAACCGTATCTGTAGAGTTATTAGATGTCTCTTTTAAAAGAATTTCTCAGGTATTGTTTCTATCAAGTTCCCGACTGGAGCACATTATGCGATAAAGGGTTAATTATTTTAAGAAAATCATACGCTAGTGTGTTGACAAAAACGTATACACATTATTATAATAAGCTCCTTATAGCATGAAACCATATTACAGTTTAAACTTAAACCAAATCTATAGAGACACCAAAACCACGAACATATCACACTCTTGTTTCGATGCGTCTTTTTCTTGAGTTGTCGAATATAGGAGGGAAGAAATTCGAATACGGTACGTTTAAGTTTCTCAGAACGTATTCGAACGGCTAAGCCGAAGAACGATAAGGTCGTTCTGTCTAGCCGAGTATGAAAGAGTATAGTAAGATGTAGGAAGAATCAAAGGATAGGGTAATCCCTTGTGTTCTATTCCTATTTGAGCCTCGTAAGGTTTCTGTGTGCGGCATTGAAGATACACCAAGGTATTCTTAAATCCTCGTTAACTTAATAAAGACCGTCTTAAGACTGTTTGTCGACTTAGATCGCGTCGACATATAGAAAACTAGACGCAAGGGTACATATGGCAGGGTCGAGCCAAGACGTCGGTGCATATTTAAACGGAAGCCGAACGAAGTTGACCGAGCCGCATCCAACAGTGGACCCAACAAGAGCAAACCTTCCTAAACATCCTCCTGTTAAATTTCAACGACCCATCATCGTGGCATCGGCCAATCGAAAATCAACAATCTGAGACGTGTACTTGGACTAGTTCGTTTTAACACGATTTTCTCCAAATAGCCTGAAGGTGAGCCAGAGGATGAGTGATCGGTGATTTATTCGTTTCAAGTGTTTCATTAAAAAATAGTGTGTTAGTGGTATGTCGGGAAATCTTTAACTTGTTTTGGGAGTGCAAAGTTAACATCTTTTGACAACAAAAAAGAAAAAGAAAAAAAATAATAAAAGTTGCTTGAAAAAGCAAGGCAATGATAGTCACTTCACTGTTCACAGATTTAAGAATGACTCTCATTTCGGGACCTAGCTATGAAGCCTACTCATGGGGAGCCCAAGGTTCCAAGCTCGGCAATCAAACGGTAGTGGACAAGGTTCCTCCTGACATGCTACACCTGATCGATGCCCATTGGTACCAGTACCCACCGCTAAATCCTTTATGGCATTCGTTGCTTGGCCTTGTGATAGGTGTACTTGGTTTCATTTCCGTTTCCGGGAATGGTATGGTCATCTACATATTCCTATCGACAAAGAGTCTTCGTACACCGAGCAATTTATTTGTCGTTAATCTCGCCATTAGTGACTTCGGCATGATGCTCTGTATGTCTCCGCCTATGGTGCGTGCAACCACTAGCATTATTTTTTTCAGTAATCGGACGTATGATACATCGTACTGAATATAATTTGAATCAATAGGTAATCAATTGCTATCACGAGACATGGGTACTCGGACCAGTCTTCTGCGAAGTCTACGCGATGTTGGGCTCCTTGTTCGGATGTAGCTCCATATGGACGATGACAATGATTTCATTCGATAGATACAACGTAATCGTGAAAGGTTTATCTGGGAAGCCACTGACCATTACCGGAGCTATTCTTCGTATATTCGGTGTATGGGGCTTCTCTTTGATTTGGACTGTTGCGCCTATGTTGGGCTGGAATCGGTAATTTCCAATTATCCAGTGAATCAATCGTGAATTTACTTATCCCTGCTAATGGTAAACATATTGTTTGTTAGATATGTACCCGAGGGTAACATGACTGCGTGCGGCACCGACTATTTCAGTCAGGACTTTTCGTCTGTCTCTTACCTCGTCATGTATAGCATATGGGTATACTTCGCTCCGCTGTTCCTCATCTGTTACAGCTATTGGTTTATCATCAAGGCGGTTGCCGCTCACGAGAAAAATATGCGCGAACAAGCGAAAAAGATGAACGTTGCCTCTCTGCGATCATCCGAAAATCAAAGTACCAGTGCCGAGTGCAAACTGGCAAAGGTATATATATATATATATGTGTGTATATTCGAATAGCGTAAATTTCGTTCATATGTAACAAGACATTTTAATGATTCCAGGTTGCTCTTATGACGATCTCCTTATGGTTCATGGCATGGACTCCGTATCTAGTCATCAACGTCTCCGGCATATTCAACCTCATGAACATCACTCCTCTCTTCAGTATCTGGGGCGCTGTATTTGCCAAAGCCAACGCTGTCTACAATCCAATTGTTTATGGAATTAGGTACCCGATAGCAATCAAAATCACCTGACTGAAAATTTTGCATTTATTAATATTTTATTTTTATGCTTCAGCCATCCAAAATACCGAGCAGCACTCTTCCAGAAGTTCCCATCGTTGGCATGCGCGAGCGAACCAGCACACACGGACGCAACCTCCACTGTTTCTGGTACCACCACCGTTGCGGACAGCGAAAAGTCCAACGCGTAAAACAGCAACGCACTTTCGATCGATCGATCAAAGAACAATGAACAGTATAAATAAAAATACGCCCGGCTAGGATAAGGAAAGGACGATACGACGTTTAATTACAGACACGATTTGTAAATATTAATATCGGTTATCGTGTTGAGAGATACGTTCAATTCAAAATTCTACCCGAGGGAAAAAACCATCACCTGAAAAGCATATTCATTTCGATCAGAGTATGTCTCCAATATACGGAATTGCTCTAACGCGCGGTATTAAATGTATAATCTTTTAATCGCCTATGATCGATGAACGTATGATTCTCATTTACACCACAATGGGAATTATTTTAACATCAAATCATAGGAAAAGATTCGAATTTTCTACATTTTATTGCCCAGCAATATACATGGTCACTTTGGTATAGCAGGCATCAGCTCTATGTTTACTAACTAGGTAAACATGTTTCATATTATTGTAAGATATGATGAGAGTGTCGTGTCTGTATCTTAATTTTATAAATACGAATAAACACTGCAAGCAACAAGATAATTGTATTCGTTTAACACTTAACAACAATTTGAATTCCTGATATTCTAAGAGCCACCACCCTCAGGCTTTTCTCCTCCAGCGGCCTCCTCGGTAGCGAAGCACGCGAAAAATGGTAGCTTCTCCTTCAACGCGGCTTTATATTTTGGATGACTTTGCAAAGTACATTTATATTAATATTATTATCAATAATTTTACCATGGTATACTGTACGCGTGTAATGCTTACCTAACCGCATAAACGAGTGGATTATATATTGCATTCGCTTTTGCGAAAAGTGATCCCCATATAGTGAACAGTGGACTCAGTAGGGAACGATTGAATATTCCGATGTAATTGATTACAAGATACGGTGTCCAAGCCATAAACCACAGCGAAATCGTCGTTAATGCAACCTAAAATAAATTTAATTTAAAACCAAAGTTGAATTCCATGTTAAATTAATTAATTACGGAACATGCCTTTGCTAGTTTTGCTTCAGCACTGGAGCCTCCTTGATTTTCTCCAGATCTTAAAGATGCAACATTCATTTTTTTTGCTTGTTCTCTCATCCCTCTCTCGTGTGCTGCAACGGTCTATTCAAGAAAAACAAATAATACATGAACACATTCAAATATAAGCAAATAACGTAACTTTGACGTATTTACCGAAACAATGAAGTAATAACTGTAAATAATAGTGAACAGAGGTGTATAATAAACGAAAACAGAGTAGACTAATATGTATGATTTGGAGGTCCAATCTGCTGAAAGATAATCTGTGCCACATGCTGTCATATTACCCTCTGGAACATATCTATTTGACATGTTATTATATGTTAACAATTAAGAGTGTCTGTTATCAGATGCACGCGGAAAAGTAACTTCCTCGATACAATTATTACCTGTTCCATCCTACCATAGGTAGAATTGTCCATAATAAGCCAAATGACCATATAATTACGACTTCAAGTATTGCTTTTTTTAAAGTAAATGGCGTCGCAGACATTCCCTAAGAATAATTCATTCTGTAGAACATTAGTTTTATTTGCGATTGTTGTGTGTGAGTATGTACGCGCACGCGCGCACGTGTGTGTGCGTAAGTGTACCTTCACTATAACGTTATATCTATCTAAAGCAATAGCTGTCATTGTCCATATAGATGCACATCCACAAAGCGAACCGACCATTGCATAAATGTCGCACATTAAAGTTCCTGAATAAAAGTTATTATTTAAAACAAAAAAAATGACATATATTACATTTATAAATCGCTTCTTCTTACCAAGAACCCATGTTTCATAGAAACAACAAATTACCATCGGTGGACACTGAAAGCCCATCATTATAAAATCTGAAAAAGCAAGGTTTACTACAAGTAGATTACTCGGCGTTCTCAGCGATGGTGTCAATAAAAATACATAAACCACTACACCATTTCCACACCATCCTATAATTCCTAGTATGATCATAACAAGACCTAAAATTTTATGCCATAGTGGATGTAATGGAGGAAATTGGTACCTATATTTTAAAGAGAAGTTAAAATATCATAAACTCAAATAAAATAAAGTACATTGATATCTTATTGGATGATTACCAATATGAATCGATTAAGTGTAACATTTCTTCTGGTACTGTACTAACTACTGTTTTATTATTGAAAAGCATTGACTGCCTTGCAAACTGTGGACCTGTGGTAGTTGTGGAGGTAGAGTTTAGTAAAGGAATAGCTCCAATAAATGAGGAGGCAGACACATTGCAGGTATTAGCAGAGGTGATTATCTCCATTCCTTGAAAATATATAACATGAATGTTTAAAAATGAAACCAGTAAAAAAGTTATTTTACTATTTAGTTTGAATTACATACTTCTAAACTGATAAAAATGTCTACAAAGAAAGGTATATTTTACATCTCATTAATATCACTCTAAGAAGCACATTCCTTATTCACACTCAACTGTTCATATTCAACAACTGCACCTACAAATGCTCCATTCTTCTTTTATATGCATTCTATATGGTGAGATCCAATAAAGTCATCCAATAAAATATTCAAATGAATCCATTTATAGTACTATTAAATGCATTTGTATCACTTTTATAAGTGTTAGTACAGAATGATGTATAAAAAGCACTGTCCATTGGTATTTAGAGTAATCTAATCAGAGTGAAACATTACGTATGCATTTATGAGTGAAATTGACATAATTGGTATAAATTTAAATAATGTACAATGTATTATTATACAGTATTTTATAATCTGTTATGTAAATTGTGTTATATAAAACATTGATATTGTTATAAATATCATTTTATCACTCTTGAAAGTCTACGAATGTGTTGACTGTGACCCTCTTGAAGGGCCTCTTCTAATTGCTGTACAATGTGTAGCAAATTAACAGGGTCAGTTTGAAGTAATACGTGCTCCACATTCTCACCCTTGTCTGTATTTTTTATGGATAAATCCAAAGTAATGAGAGGAGCAACTTGTTTTAATAGCGATCTTGATGCAAGCTATAAAGATATATATATTGCATAAAACGCTCAAATTTAATCAATATAAAAATATAACATATACAATACCTGAACTTCATATCTCCATTCCATATCATGATACTCTGGCAATTTAAATCCAATATCTGTAAGTGTGTTTAATATTTCATCTTTTTTAGTATTATATAATTTGCTTAATATTGCTTCTTGATCTTCAGAAAACCCTAAAGCTATTACTGAATCCCTAAAGTCCTCGGAATTTAACTGCAAAGCATAACAGTATATTTATTTTATTTATTAATAACTATATATATTCAAATTAATAAAACTAGTATTGCCTTGTATCTACAACTCTCCAGTAATAAATTGACAAGTCCTTCAACTGAGTTTTTAATTACGTTTACTTCAACCTCTAATTTTTCTGAAAAAGAATAAAAAATGTATAAACAGTATATCCCTAAGTGTTGGAAGAGAAATCTTACTTACGAGCAGCTGCATTATACAATTTAACGTTTGGTCCCTTCTGCAAATAATCTAGGGCCAATTTACAGAAATCTTGTAAAACTAAGAAAAGAGTGTCAGTAAATTAATCGTAAATTAAAACCGAGCACAATTAATGAGAACAAGAATAATTGACGTACCTTGCGGTTCGTGTTCCGCAAGAAGCAGTACATGTTTCTTATGATCTGGTTTTAATGTTAACAACATTATTATTATTTTGTTAAAAATATATTTACGCAATAGTTAATTGTTTCGTATTTTTCAATGTGAAATAAAATGTTTCTCGATTCCGTGACTGAGAGACAGTAAATGAACCGCCATATTTATTGTCACGTAAACATGAAACTCTATCTGTTGATTGATGAAGTAATCAATTCTTTGAACAGATTATGACGTAAAATAATTTTAGACCCAAAATATTTAGTTTATTCCAAATATTTACTGCCCATACAATGTACATTTGCTATGCTTCAAGTAAAGTTAGGTTAGGTGATTATCAATTGTTACATAGTTAAAATTAACATCCAGAATGATACAAATTATCAGTATTCAATTGTTGTTGGTGATAATAAAAAAAAAAACAAATTTCAATGTTGTGACTGAATTTATTAACTTTTTAAAGGCAATAAGCCTTTGAACCTATAAGATACATACAAATGCAGGTGTATTCTAAGAGTAACAAACTTTCAATTTATTTTGCAATTAGGTAATCTTTGTTCCTCGTTTTCTTCTTTCTTGATCAAGAATAGAATGACATTGATATAATGTTGCAATTCCTTTAGATTTCAAATGCAAAATTATGCCTTTGGTTGAGAAAGCATTGCTTTCACCTGAGCCTGTTCAAACATTTGTTGATACTTCTCTAATGTTTCCCGATGCGTATCTTGCTTCTTATCTAATGTAGTTATCATTTCCTCCACCCGTTTCCTAAATGGATGAAAAAATTACTTATATCTTTAGAACTGCTTATGTATATATTATCTACATGTACATAAATTAACTTACAATTCAGACTGGATGTATTCCATCCGTTTAGCAACATTCTGCTTTGCATCTTCCAAGTCCTGTTTTATTAGAACTGGTCCAATTAGTTTGAAAACATCATCTTGAGATTTCAAAAGATCCAATTCTTTCTTAACCGCAATATTTTCATTCAATTGCCCATCCAGCTGTTGTCTTTGACTCAATGCTTTGTGGTAATCTGATACAAACAGAATCTACATGTAACAGGACATTCAATTAATTCCAATTTAATAATATATTCTAAAGAATATTGTTTGTACACAAGAAATGAGTAAAATACCTTTTTGAACCTGTTTATATTTGTCTATTTCTGTTTTTAAATTTTTTTGAATTTCTTCCGTCATGTTTGTCTAAAATAAAAAAGAATTGTTGAATAATAAAATATTGATAACTAATAAGTGAATAGTAAAATGTAGTTTACAAGTAAAATTTAAATAAAGATCATGTGATTAAGAGGTTATGATATCGTTTTAAATATATAGACTACTCGATTACATTTAGAAAATCGATTTAAATGAATTGCAATTATATGATGAGTAAGTATAATTTTTTTAATGAAAGTATGTACAGTATAATAATTGTAGATCCCATCACCTTATTTGAATATTATCATACCATGTCAAAAGAAGAATGTCTCGCAACAACCTTTTTCACGAACCGTGTAGCAAATATATTTTATTGAACCGTAAAGGATTGGTAAATGTTACATATGAATATCCTTTCTAATCGAATTAGTCTTTCAAAGTTTCAAACTTTACCTAATTTATCGCGTTACCGCTATAGATATTACGCATTTAAAAATATATATACCTGAGTCATAGAGAAATACAAATTAAGAACGAAAAACAACTGTGTATTTATAATAAAGGATTAATATTTAATATCACAATTAAATTACAAATTGATTTTAATTAAAACAATATAGATTTTGCGTGATATTGCGTGAAAAATAAAAATACATTTATAAAATACAAGATGGCAAAGATTAAAAATAGAAATATATAAGTATTGTACAGTCACGTAGAGATCTCTGAAAGAATCGACTTAAAATTTGTATATTTGAAGCTTTAATTATAGAAGAATGTAACAAATATTGTTTTAATGTAAATCGCGCTATTGAATTTCAAGATTTAATATTCTGCGGGTCAATTTCAATTCCAACATGACTGTTAAATTTCCCGCAAAATATATTTCTTCTTGCAATTGTCGTAAGATGGCGGTATTTATAAAACGGGTCGAACATCTTTACGAATTCGTTTCTACGTTGAAACATATTCCTTTATAACCTTTCTGTAAATGTCAATTATTCGTATGTGGTGTTGTTGTTTCCATACAAATCAGGAAAATGGAAACAATATTAGAGCAACAACGACGCTATCATGAAGAGAGAGAAAGATTGATGGATGCAATGGTCAAGGAAATGCTTTATAAAAAACCAGGCCACAGAGAAAGTATAAATTCCGAGCATCGATTAAAGATGCTACTTGATGAGTACATGGACAGTACTTTACATTTGCAGGATTTGTACGAGGATAAAGATGGACAAAGGAAGGAGGAAGTACGTCGATCGATTTTCTGTGCTACTTTTACTTTCGTTATATGTTCTGCTAAAAGAATTTTGAATTTTTTTTGTTTAGGTGCAAGCACTCTCTGGGCCAAATGAATTTTCCGAGTTTTACTCTCGATTGAAGTCCATAAAAGAGTTTTACCGCCGACATCCCAACGAGATAAGTATTCCAATGTCTGTAGAATTTGAAGAATTGGCCAAAATGCGAGAGAACCCTACCGAAGACTTTTCAAATCTTGTTGAATTTACGGATGAAGAAGGTTATGGAAAGTACCTTGACCTCCACGAATGTTACGAAAAATATATTAACCTTAAGGGAATAGAAAAAATCGATTACATCATGTATTTATCAACTTTTGATCATTTATTTGATATTCCAAGGGAAAGAAAAAATGCTGAATATCAACGATATGTGGAATCTCTATTGGAATACTTGAATGATTATTTGAGTAGAGTTAGACCTTTGCTTGATTTGAATGCAGAACTTCAAGAAGCAAATAAAGAATTTGAAACACAATGGGAGAATAGTACATTTCCTGGATGGCCAAAAGAAACTGGCAGTGCTTTAACTCATGTAGGAGCTCATTTAGAACTTTCTGCTTTTTCTTCCTGGGAAGAGCTTGCATCTCTTGGATTGGACAGATTGAAATCAGCTCTAATGGCTTTAGGTTTGAAATGTGGTGGGACACTCGAAGAAAGAGCTCAAAGACTTTTTAGTACAAAAGGAGAAGCTTCTCTGGATCCAAATTTGTTAGCAAAAAATAATAGAAATAGGAAATCTGGGAAAGGAAGAAATTCTGAAAAGCAAAGAGATATAGCATGTTTAGAAGCTCAAGTATACAGACTTGCAGAATTGGTATCCACTCAACGAGTGGCCACAAAAGAAAATGTTCAAAGAAAACAAGCTAGAACAGAAGGTGAACGCGGAGATTCGGATGCAGAGGCTAGTGCTAGTGAATCTGAAGAAGAAGATGACAATGAAGTTCCCTACAATCCTAAAAACCTTCCTCTTGGATGGGATGGGAAACCTATACCATATTGGCTGTACAAATTACATGGCTTGAATATTAATTATAATTGTGAAATATGTGGGAACTTTACATATAAAGGACCAAAAGCTTTTCAAAGACATTTTGCGGAATGGAGACACGCGCACGGTATGCGATGTCTTGGTATACCAAATACTGCACATTTTGCTAATGTGACACAAATAGAAGATGCTCTAGCTTTATGGGAAAAACTGAAGGCACAGAAACAAGCGGAACGTTGGCAACCAGAGCAAGAAGAAGAATTCGAAGACTCCCTTGGAAATGTAGTTAATCGTAAAACATACGAGGACTTGAAAAGACAAGGTCTTTTATAAAATATTGGACTGACATTAAACATAATTTTTGTATACTACACTATATTACTGGTAATATTGTATATTCACAAATAATTGAATGGCGAATAAAAGCATTGTGAAACTTATTTATTTATAATATTTCAACTACCTAGTTTAACAATTATTATTATGTTTAACTCATTTAATTTTAAATAAGAGTCATATTACAAGTTACTAACAGTAATGTTCGAGCTAAAAGTTTATGGAAGAAACATTAACTTTTTATAAAGAAATGTTTTTTTTTATTTCGCAATAGGTATATTTTTTTTTCTTTTGAAAATTGCGTATCCCAGTTTGAGAAACACTAACTCTTTAAATATCCGTATTCGACCAATGAGAATGCAACAATTTCGTATTCAGTTTGTTTGTGGTTCGCGGTTCACCGTTTGTCCACAACGATGAATATCTCTCGTGTAAAGAGGCCATGAAGTTGTGAAGCATGAAGACAGACACAGAAGGCCACCGCTCAATTAGTCACTCTATGAACGGTACCGGTAACCTCACATTACAACTTGTTGAAATCGTTGAAATATACAGTTGTAATGATCTTTAGGGAACGACATTATTTTAACGTTTTATAAATAAAATGCAAAAGTGCAGAATCTGTAATGGTACAGATTTCTATAAAGAGGCTGGCTATTTTTTTTGTCAAACATGCCAAACGCAAAACGAGGTAAAATATGTTTGTTTACATCCAAGAAGAAATCGATTGTTATATTATTCCTTGTATATAGGATATCAGAGAGGAGGTCCTCGAATTACGAATAGATACTTCAACCCGATTGAGGAAAACCAGAATTAGACGATTGAGATCAGACAAATCAGGTATATTACTATTTTTGAATATTATTTTTAATGTCCTTTCAGTGTCAGTGATCTTTGTTGACAAGAAATTTGGTTGTCAGGCGATGAGCTTGGCTGGACTTCGTGGGAATTGTATAACTTTGTTCTCATTGGATTGACAAATGAACTCGTAGAACTAGGTGTATCATCTGATATAAAGTTAACAGTATTACAATTATGGGCAACTTATTTGGGGAAGCTAGAAGTTGCATTTATTTCAACGAAAAAAAAATCTGTACCAAAGCTGGCTAGAAGATATAACAAAAAGTAAAGTTATCTTGTTATAAAATATTCTCCTTTTTGTGTTATTTGATGAACTTCTCCTTGTGACAGGGATGCAGAAATTATTTATGGTAAAGTGCAGTCCCAAAGGAGGTCCAGAAAGCGTAGAAAAATTGGGAGCAGTACAAATACTTCTATGATATCTGCTTATCAAAGCGGAGGTAGCTCTATGCGAGAATTAAGTAAAAATAAAGTAATTTACTTCTACATTGTTTATTAAAAGAATTTTAACATTTGACTTGTGACTTATACGTATAACATTTTTCAGAGACTTTTAGCAACTGCAGATTATGATAGGTTTCTTCAGTCTCAAGGTAGTTCTGAAGGTGATGGGCTTAGTCTGTTTAGTCAAAGTGCATATAGCAATCAATCCAGTTCAATAAAATCCTCAAATAATGAGGGAAAGTAAGTATTTCTTCAAAGTCATTATTTGTCAAAGTTAGCATATTTTACAGCACTTCATATATTGTTTTCTTTATGCAGAGTGCAATTCAGTTCTCATGCTAAAGAAGAAGCAAGAAAAATCAAAAGATTATCAAGAAATATACCTAGATATAAAAGAGCCAGCTATAGAATAAACCACATAAGTACTCAATATAGGATAGGACCTAATATAATTACACCTATGAAGTTATGGGCAATTGTGTATATAGCTCTTAGAATTCATGATCAGCCCATACAATTAGGAGACATGTTAAGGTGTGTAATAAATGGATGTATAATCAGATCATTCCTGATTTAATTTTATATTCATTCATAAATTTATGTCTTTGTAGATATGGAAGAGAAGGGCATTTATCATACTATAAGTTAGACCATTTAATACCGCCAGAAGTGAATTTAACTAAAAGAGAAAGAAATTTCTTATCGCAAAATGTTGAAATTACGCATAAAGGAATGAGACGAATCATTGCGAGTATCGCGAAACTTCTTGGTGTATGGGATATAGTCTGTCCAGACTTCTTACCTCTAATTAGTCGATATTGCCAAGAATTAGGATTACCTAGTATGTAAAACATACTCATGCTTTCGAATTTTCATTTGATTATTTATATTCATTAGTAATGTATTTATAGAAGGTATCAAACTATACACGGAAAGACTGATAGCTTTATCGCCGCCCAAAATGATATTTAACGGAAAGAAGTCGTACATTCCAAACTACGAAGGTCGTGCAATAGCATTTATCATTGTAGTGCTAAAAACTTTACTTGCTTTAGATGACATAACTGAATATCAAGTTAGCAGGATAGCAGAGAAAATCAACAGGTATATACAAAAAAATGAATGTCTGTTTACATGTTACATTTGTATATCAGAGTCCATTTTATGTTTTGAACCTCAAAATTTAGAATTATATAGTTATTATAAATATTTGCGTATTTTTTCTATTGGTTGAAAGAAAATGCAACACGAAAAATATTGTTCTTCTCGGCAAAAAAATAATTCGTATGATAATATATTAAATAACCTACATAAAAGGATAGGAGCAGGAGAATGCAAATGTTACGAAAATAACTTCCCCTGTATAATTGTCCATGGAGGCGCAGGGAATTTTAACGATTCTATAGATACGGAAAAAATGACAGGTTGTAAAAAAGCTGCAATTAATGGATATAAAAAATTAATAGACGGCGAGAGTTCCGTAAACGTTGTAGAGAGAACTTTATGGTGGTTAGAATGCGATGAATTTTTTAATTGTAGTTACGGGTCTGTGTTGAATGAAATAGGTATTTCTATTATAATATTAGTACTTATGTACGTGGTAAATATAATACAAAATCAAGCAAAGATAAATTCAAATATTTAGGAAAAGTGCAAATGGATGCAAGTATTATGGATGGTTTAACTTTTAAATGCGGATCCGTAGCAGCAGTTTCAGATATAGAGCATCCTATAACACTCGCAAAATACGTTTTAAACAACTTTCCAAATTCCATTTTCGTGGGCGAAGGCGCTAAGAATTTAGCAAAATATGCGAATTTAAATTGGTTATCAGACGGGAATATGGAATCACCGATGGCGCGTATAGCTTATTATTTAGGAAAAGAAGAATATGAAGCAGATGTCGATGATCTAAGTGTACTGGGTGTCGATATGTTAACGAGTAAATTAATATAGTAGAAACCAGTTTTATAATGAATAAAATTCTGTACATTTATGTAGCTATTATTTGTAGATAGTTTTGGTACTGTCGGGTGTGTAGCATACGACGGTCATAGTATTGCTGCAGGAACCACGACAGGCGGTTTAAACAAAAAGTTAGTAGGAAGAGTAGGAGATACTCCATTGTTAGGTTGTGGTACATACGCTACCAAGGATATAGGTTGCTCTGTAACAGGGCACGGAGAGTCTATAATGAAATTAGGATTAGCACGCGCGATCACGGAAGATGTTCAAGACAATTTTACAGGGGAAGAAGCCTTATACAAGCATTTTTCTTGCATGTTAAATAAATTTGAGAAAACTGGTGGTGGGGTAATTCTTCAATCGAACGGTCGTTGGGCAACGCATTTTACTTCCGATAAAATGCCATACGCGGTAATTGAAAATGATGTAATCACATTTGGAACAAAATTACACGAGGAAAGAAGAGAATTGTATGGCAAACATACTACGAAAAATTGCGAATGCGAATGTCTCGCTATAATTGTATCTATACTACGCTACCCTAATCCTTTGACATAACACAAAACGAATTGTTGAGTATTTTACTTACATAAAGTACTTTATATTACAGCGTAGCTATTAAACAGGGCTTGTTAACAGAAAAATTGTTCAGTTTTCAAGAGTGGCAAAAGTATATTGAATGTAGAAAAACAATTTTAACGCATTCGCATTTTCCAACCAAGATGAAGTATGGTCCAGATACACACGGAATCGACGATCTGTACTTTAAATTTTTGGAGTCTATAACTTCTAAAGCGGACAAGAAGGAAACAGACATAAAAAATTCTAAACATTTTTTACCGGAACCACTCGTTAACGCTATGACGACATACATTTCTAATTTAAATGTAAATGATTTTCCACCAAAGGCAATAGATGTATTTCCACCATCTTTAACGCCTCTTCATTCCTATCTCCAGCATTTATTGGATCATCCACTTTATGACATTCCTAGTGTCGTAAGAAACGATTTTTTTCTTACAAAAGTTGGGTATATGACTAAACCTGATTCGTAAGTATTTGTAAGGATATTCTTTTCATTTAAATATGATAAGTTGAATTTAACTCTGTTTCTTTCATTTGTAGTCTTATAGAATTAGCTATGGAGTGTGATATTAATTTAGAGATAATTGATTCAAGTTTACATTTTCTTGAAAAAGTTGTACCTCCCTTCGAGCAACCCAGAATGCCAAGTATAGAGGAATTAAAGCAGCTCGTAGATGTGCAGGATGATTCTAATACCCAACACACGGAAGGAAGTGAAAATCTAAACGACTACTTGCATAGAAAAATACCGTGTAGAATAAAATTCAACGTTGCCAAAGAACAGTATTACGACAAGGTTCGAAGTTCAGCAAAGAATTTCAGAAATATTGACCTAGGAAGTGACTTTGGTTTCTCTGAAACTTTGCCGAATGGTAGATTAGCAATTCCTAATGATAGCGATAGCGATAGCGAAGATGAGAAGGAAGATATCAACCTTACCAATAGAGAAAGTATACTACTGGGAAAGAAATTGTGTGAAAAATACAATTTACATTTATCAGTCGCAGAAAAAGAATCTATTAACGAGTCGGATATCAGCAAGAGAATGCGTTTTAAAAAACACAAGCTTCAATTTGCGCGAAACGCAAAGGGTCAGTTCATTAAAGGAAGTGCTGTATCTATAAACGTTGAAGAAAATAACGAAGATTCCCTTTCCGAAACGGATTTAGCTTTTCAGACGAGTACACAAATAAATTTGACAGAAAAGATGCATAACGATATCGACAAAATTATGGAAGAAGAACTACCCTTGTGCGAGGGTATAGATATTAATAATATAACAATTGACGATATAGATACTGCCTTTCCAAATTTGAACGACTATTTCAATTTGAGCGAAATTTCGTTATTTCGCAATAGCGACGATAATTCCATGTTAGAAACTAATTTGGAGAAAGACATAGCTAATAACAAATACCAATTCTTTAGACCCTTCAAACATTATTGGATGTATCATTGCATCTTTAGTCGTGTGAAACCAAAGAATTTCGCGGTATTTGAAAGATCGCTACCACGAAATTTTCGTTGGTTGTTAAACGAGTGCGCACTTGCCGTGGAAATGTCCACGGAAGACTTATACGAAGAAGTGTGTCTGATAGAAACTTATCACGCGAATATTTTAAAGTCTACTTCCGAGGATATCAATCGCAGTAGCACAGATCCGATGTCGAAAAATCAAATAAATTTAATTTTAAGCAGGTGGTGAAAAAATAAATAATAAATTTATTAAATTAGTATGTGGTTTGTCATTATTCGATGAAAAATTAAGCCATAACGACATAAAATTTTGATACTAATAATAAAAACTTCATCACTCCTACAAAAGAATAAGATTTTATTCAGTTGTAGAATCGAGATATAAATGTATGCTTCTGATGAAAGAAAGACAAAGATATATGTGTATATTTTAATTTCTCAAAGTACGCTTCTGCGAGTGTAAGCACGGTTAAATTTGAAACGCTAAAAAATATAGTATATCCTTGAATTGATCATATATATAAATCTCTATTATCGAACACTAAACCTGTTGCCGTTGATTTCTAACTATTTCTAACGTGATGGAACAAAGACTAATCTCAGACACATTTCCAATGAAATGCAAAAATATTTTATGTAAAACTAAATTGAACAATGCATAGTAGGTTTGGTGTGCTATTATCAATTACGAACGTCGATGTTGAAATTTGTTTATCGACCGCGCGGGGACAAGAATCGCGAAAGGTAACGTTAATAACGCGGGTCGACATGGTGGGGCGCCCCGGTCAAGCAACTGTTGCACTTGTCGAGACACTGTCGACGGTTCCCGGTGTGTTCCTCGTTCCGAGGCTTCGAGTCGAGGGACGACGGAGCGTTTCATCAGTAGTAAACATCAGTTGGCGTAAGACGGTCTCGGATGGCTGTCATCGTCCCAAGCTTGCTACCACGATACGTGGTGTGTGAACGATCAGGCGGCGGTGTGTATACGCTGGCCGCGTGTGCGTTCGCGATCATTTCTTGAGAACCTGCACGGGGATATTTCGTGCGTGCGTGCGTGGTTGCGTATGCCGGGAGAAGACTCCTCGTGCTACAGAGTGCTTGGGTCGTCGTTGTTACTCGTGGCATTGCCCGTCACGTTCATCGAAAGTGCACACCGTTATTAGTCTCGCGCTTTCCACTCGACATCACACCTGCTCCGCCGTGTCCTGGTGTCGTTCACCGAGCCACCTTATCGCTTCGCCGTTGCAACTTCCTGTTCACCGTAAGTGTTCTTCAAATTCGTTAATATCCGATCGTAAAATTGTATCGAGATGAAAGTGAATCTCGTTCCGAAGTTTTTGAATGTAGCGTCCAGGGAGAATTTTCAGAAAATAGTGGCCAGATCGACCCACCAAAAATGCTTCCACTTTAAGGATGTACCACTTGCATCTATTTAAAAGGGCAGTATTAAGGGTGTCGCAGACAGTCAACATTCATCTACTGTTCTTTTTTCTTAAATTAAAGCTTGAGCCTTATTAATTGTAAGTAAATTTCTATCACAATTATCTGCGATTTTATCTGTGATGTTAGCCATCATCATACGTGACACTCGTCTTTTTGTTTAATTCTACCTAATATCTACTTTGTGTCGAATATTTAATACTTTTTGTAATTCACATTTTAATTAAAGCTACAGATTCAATATTCGACGATAAAAATGATAATTCTCTTCTTCGTGGCAGAATTTTCTTAAGAATTGAAAATATGTATCGATACAGGGTAATTTTGGCTACGATTTTATGAAAATTCGCCTGTAGGCGTCACGGAACGTTCTATATGCGCGTAATTTCCGATGCCATCTCGAAATAAATTCTACATTAATTTCGTACATCGCAACGTGTTCTATACATATATCGATCTTTCTTAATGCATTGGATCATCCCGTGAATATTTTTCAAATTATATTTCGCGAAAGACTCGTGAAATACTTCGTAGATTTCACTTAACGAAATATCAATTTAAACTTCGTTAAATTTGATTTTTCCACCGATCGTTTGGGGTCATTGTTCCTTTCTCGCGTAATGAGAATGGAAGACTTAGAAAGAGCTAGGAGTCTGACGAAACTTTGTTGCTTATGGGATGGGTTAATTGTTTAGCAGGTTACAATGAGGCTTGTAACGAGATATTATGTCGTACTGAGAAATAAACCCTTCTACGTACTATGTTTGTGAATCATGGCATACCAATTGTCACGATGTGCAATGTGATCGATTTTCATTTGTCCGGGTATCGATCTATGGAAACTCTCGTAACCATCGTTAACGATAGATGGACGAAGTTCTCATTTAAATACAAATTTCGTGTAACGAACGGAAGACAAACAACGAGATTAATAGCCAATCGTTTGTTTCGTTGGCTTTGATTTCAGTGGTGCTCCCACGAATCTCGTTCTTCCTTATTCGTTTCTCGGTGTTGTCAGTCTTTAACTGGAGATTTGAATTATTTTTATGCTAGCTTTGAACCGTTGCCAACAATATAAGAAAGTTGGACGATTACCCAGCGAAGTTCGACTTCTCGATTCTTTTCTCGATGTTTGTTTCCTCGTAAGAGCGATAGAGCGTGCATTGTAACTTTATTATAGGTTAGACATTATTAAAGTTGTGTAAATAGTTGTTGCTGTAAGGAAAAGTACTGTGTGATGTATATTCGTTTTCGCGGTGACGATCGAAAAGAACGGAACCGCTTCTAAGCAACTAGGTTAAGAAACGATCATTGGTTAGATTCTTATCATTTTTTTTGCCATTCTAAGTGATTCATCCGAATCGAGGACGATTAAAAGTATTTTGCATCGTCAGCGATGAATCTTGCAATACGACTTTTTCGAGATTAGCAGATCTTTGATATTGGTTCGCGTAGAACGCACTTGACGGATCTCGGATGTCCGCGGACGTCGAATAAAATCATTTCCCCGTCGGTCTTTCAGTCACATTTTTTTTTTCTGGGTGTGACAACCGGTCGATTCGCTAGCCGGACGCGCTGGGTACTTTATTTTTAATTTCAATGGCTTCATGCAGCCTATAATAGGTATCGAGTTTTACTTTTTAAACTGTTTCTGTTTAAAGTATCTCTAATGGGTTAATACGGCAGACTTTGAACATATTATGAATTTATCAAGCTTTGTTTTGTTTTTACCATATTAGACTATTTTTTATTTCTGTGCCTCTATATTCAATTATCTACAACTCTAATCCAAATGCTCAACCCGATGATCGTTAGAATGCATCTATACATATATCAACAAATCTGCTATAAAGCAAGCAGTCGATTAATTAATACTATTCGAAAAGTGGAAAGGAATAAGCCGTTCCGCGCGTAAATGAACCGTTAAAAAATGATTCGACGAATCGTTTCCTTCTTTCGAGAACGTACTCGAGGAACGAGCACGCATCCCGATGAACGTTTATCATCGATTACACATTGTTAACGTGTTCGACATCGGAGAGTGTACGGCGTGTCTGGACTGGTAGTTGCTTGTTTCATATTTAGTCTCGCGACCGTTTTCGCGCGTATGGGAAATAAACAATTCAAATCCGTTCAGCTACAAATTGGATTGCCGACGGTCTTCCGTTTCGTTCGACGTCTTTCGCGACGGACGTAAATCTTATTGCAGGGGTGGCGGTTAATTGGTAGCAGTTATCGGTGGATTGTACCGGTTAACGCTACGCGATACTTGGAGTAACTGCTCGGGCGAATAATCCATTCCAGTTACGGCACTCTCGTTCGCTCGCTGAAAACGTTCTGCGTCATTAGGACGAGCTGAATTGGCAATAACTGGTAATTAACTTACGAGAAATAATAAAACGATGATTTTCCGCTGTGCTACGCATTCGATGATAAATCGTCGAGGAAAGAATATTATAGAGTCCTTAAAAGTCCTTGAAACGGTGACATTCGAATTTTAATCCTTCCATGGTCTTAAATGTTTCGAAATAATTAAAAACAGATTCCCTATAGATTTCAATTCTATCCGCGCAAAGGTCAAATTCTTCCATTTCGGTTACTTCATTCTCGAAAATATAAAAATCAGAATGCAAACAGTTTTCTGTCCTTGCGCGGAGGTAGCAAGGATGGAGATAGAGAGCTGGAATTTTTAGGGAATTTGTTTTCAATTACTTCGAGTCACGCAAGACTCTGTGAACGTTCAAATTCGAGAGTTACCCCTTTAAAACGTATGCAAGGAAGCGTTTCATAAATTATAGGATAACACAGTCGAGCTCCCTGCCCGTTACCTTTAAAATTGATGTTTTAACAATTTATAGAATACATTTATCGAGACGACCTAAAATAAGGCCGATAACGTTACGGGGATTAATAATAAATGCTCGGTGGTTGGAAACATCGGTTGCGTTCGATATACCGTCGACTCGGGTCGATCGTACGTGATCTTGAACCGAACAAGTAGGTGAAACTACGCGCCACGCGCGGAACTCCTACCGCGTGGTTGATTGCCGACCGTTTAACGTCCTAATTGGCAAAGCAGACACGCCTAAATAAATATTTTAAACGACGGCGAAAAGCCAAGGTTTCCACGAATCCTCGTCACCAGCGAAAACTGCGATTGCGACTCGGGCAGATTAGATCTGTCCGCGTCACTCGATCAAACGGTTCAATCTATAGTAAATTTATGCGTCGCTCAAATTTTCTGCGATAACGAAAGTTTTACCGCGTGAACGTTGAATTAATACGAGTTAAGTCGAGAGGTTAGCTCAAGAAAAAAATCAACGAATGGATATAGATAAGGTTTGCGTGTAAATATCTGTAAAGCTATGGAGTCCTCCGCGAAGAAGAGGACCGAGCGTTTGTTAGTTTCATGGATTTTAAGCGTCGCTCGGGAGCCAGGATCTTGGCTGCAAAGACAATTCGGCTCGAGGCTTTTCAATTTCTCTGTCGTCTCGGGCAATGCTGCGCCGGAAAGCGCATTTTACTCGACTGGGAACCTCCAGACCGCCGAAGGAGGATTCGAACGCTTAAGTGGATCCTTCGCGATAGCTGGCGCCGCTTCGGCGACGATATTGGCTTAACTGGTCGGTGTGTACCTCGAGAATTTTAACGATATTCGAATTTTCACGACTTGATAAACGGTGTTTGAACTTCGCCGACGAGGCATCGCGCCGATGCGCCAGACGTATGTACGGAGAAATGGCAGCCAGCCAAGTCTCGGTCAGAAACTTTTTCGGGTTACGGTTTTTTCGATCTTTTCTACCGTGCCACGAATAGCATTGCGGCAGCGTCAGGCAAAATTTCGTCGACAATTACAAGTCGAGCTTCCTTTCTCCTCGACAGATTTATTCGTGTTATTATCGCAACGAGATTTGTCCACTATTTTCCCACCTAACCATGGAAGGATTCGATCGATTCGCAGATAGAAAAGATTCGTCACTTCGCGGTAAAATTCACTCGTACAAAGTTCGTATGGGTGTAATCGAATTCCCTGCAGTCCCGCACCTTTGAGCTATCGCAAATTTATACGATGCTCTCAGGCGCCATTAACGGATTACAATGTTAATGGA